AATTCCAAATTGTTTGTTTGATTTCGATTTCCGCATTTTGTGTTTCTTTTGAGTGCTATAGGAATCTATTGAAATGTCTACAAATTTATGAACTATATGAAGTAGAATATATTTTATGTTTGCTAAAAAGTTTTCCAACTAGTTGAGAAGCCTGTTAAGCCTATATCAACATATAGCTCAGACGATCTTTAATCAGATTTCTTATGTGAAAAAATTGTTTGTTTTTAAAGAATTTTCTATAGTTCTGGGAAATGAATATTTATATTCATATATATTCGTATATTCGTATAGCTTTAGTTAAATGTTTTGGTCAAGCTGTTCGCTTTACACTCGACACCAAAAACAATCATTGGTACAATGTATTTGTCATAATTCTAATACACGCTTATATACTGACACACTTACTCAGAATCATACATGTATATATACACATTTATATATATGTATGCCCTCTCTCTCACACACATGCACACTTCTTTTGACCCATTTGAGACGGCAATCAGCCGATCATTGCTGTGCGCCCATAGCTTATAGCCATAAAGCTGCTAATCGCATTTGTTTAGTTAGAAATCTAAAATTGATAAAGTTTATTTCGTTTTTTACTATTTTTTAGTTTGTCATGTCCACAATCTACCGCCCACTCACCCACTCTACCTTGATCTCCCTCTCTCTTGCACGTTTTGAGTTGTTTTTTTTTTGTTGGTTGCTTTTTGTGTTCTCGTTGCTCTGTTTCGCTGTGTAATATTTTTGTTTCGGTTTCAACATGACATGAATAACAATTAGAAGAAAATAGCAATAACAAATCGAGTCAACTGGTTGCTCTGATGCCGCTGCGTCTGCCACGCCCACACTGACACGCCGCCGCCGCCGCCTGCAGCTCGTTGATGTTGTTGCGGTGTTTTCGTTGTCGTTCAGTTAAAATAAAAAAAAAAACAAAGAAAACGTTAAATGTATACAAAAAAAGTTGAAAGTATCTATAGCATAGCATCCTCTGAAACAGTTTTGGGCTGCGTGTCAGGAGTGCATTTGCACTGAAACATTCTGAAGCTTGTAAATGCACTATCTGGTACGACATTCCAGAACGTACAATCTTCCCAAATGCAACAACTAAATGCTGAAACAATATAAACAATATATATATGCAATTTTTGTGAATAGTGTGAACTACAATAACTAATACTATATACATATAATAGATAAATATGTATATATTTACAATTCATTTTATTTTTTTTTGTTTAACTTAATTTTAAGTACAAACTAAATGTAAGCGTAAAAGAAATTATATGTTAATAAAAATGTATTCCATTCAAAATATATATATTTTATATATGTTGTTTTATTTCTGTGTAATTAGGGCAACAAATCTAACTTAAATATGCCCTAGATACATTTCAATTTACCATTAAACATGCGACACATAAGCTGCTTCCGTCACATAGTTGTAGGTAAATTTCTAGACAAAAGATACATTACATACATTCCTGAAGAACAGGGCTAATCATTTAAAATATATAGATAAATGCCTAATTATACAAAAGATACATTTATAACATTTAGGTGTAGGGCATAATACATTTGGTACATGCATAGAAGCCAAAGATTGATAGATGCATAAGATACAGATACAATTGATATATAGAGAAGATAATGCAACATTTTATACATAGTTACATATGCATTTAGATAGATAGATAAAGATAGATACATATGAATAGACATCGTTGCATAAACACATATGAATTACATTACATAAGTACATATAAATACCCAATAAACTATTGCTCACAATCAATCAACAGATTGATAAGCAATTACTAAAAGATATATTTGATGCATAAAGTTAGCATGCAAAAGATACATTTGTAGCATAAAGATTAGATAACCGAGCATCAATCATGTTGAACAATAAACAAACGGAATCGAACGGCTAGTTCGACTCGCTTGCAATGACCTTGAAACCGGGTCGACGCTTCCCAACTCCAGCTAAAAAGTGGGCGTGGCCCACTTTTAACTTAAAACTGAAAGACATTATTGTGTGAATTGCTTAAAGCAAAACTAACTGTTAAACGACCTTCAGACGTCGCATGCTCTAAGTAATTTGTTTGCCGTCCAACTTTCCCTAACCCCCCACAGCAACCCACTTGTCAAGGCCAACATTAAAACCTACAATTCTCGCCAAATATATATGTATCTCAAGGTTTCATTGCATATTTTACAGCGCTCCGCTGGGAGCAACGCAAAACTGAAAAAGCTTTCGACGGCCACGCAACGTAGCATAAAATGCAGCATAAGTGGACAAGCCGCTGGCGACGATGTTGCTGCCAAAGAGACGCAAGATGGCGCAAAGCATTTTCGCCTCGCTGAAAAGCTCACGGCGGCGGCGGCATCAGCGAATTCTGATTGGCGCCCGATTTCAAAGTGTTGCATCACACATGTGTTCTCTCCCTCATATTATTTTTAATTTTATCATGCAAAGCGAAAGAAAAAAATATCCTTCAATCCGATTGGCTATGCGCTTTGGCAGTGTGGTTAGCTGGTTGTGTGGCCTTTTGACAAATCACAGCCACTATCTTCACTGCCGCCGCGACAAGCTATGACAGCAAGAGAAACCACCTAAAACTAGCTAATAAATAATGCTAATAACTTTATATAAACAAGAAAACTAACCGTAAACTCTGTATACTAACTATCTATGATGAGCAGATAAAATGTATGTGCAGGTGAGTACATGGAACATCCATGAAAGCAACTTAATATACAAAATTCTAAAAAAATAAGTCTAAATATATTGGAAATAAGGGCATGCTCATTATCAAAAGACCTAAATTTTACTATATATATTTCAATGCTTAAATTTAAGTGATCAAGAGTTTAACTACGGTATTTTAAGAAAGCATGATATACACTTAAGTTCGAGTCGATGCAATATATGGAAAATCCATTGTATTCATAAATTTGTATTTCAAAGTTCATCTAGCTCTGGCAAACTTGAAAATTTGATGTAATTTTTCAAATATTACAATGTTATAAATAGATATCATTTAAAAATCCCACCTACTTTAGCCAAGTTACATCTAGACAAAGTTAAAAAATATCTGAACCTGTTACATTTCCTCTAAAATCTAGTAGATTTAGAGAGGGACGAATTCCTAGAATTCATCTAAAATATATTGTGAGCACTTTGCTAAAAGGTATTCAAAGCAATTACGTAATTCCACTTCTCTTGAAGTCCAATTTTTCCTGATGGTAAATAATTTCAGCTGAGCGACAAAGACTAAATAAAAAAAAGTCAAAAAAAGTTCAAATAAATTCGCATTTTTAGTTGTTTTTTTTTATGTTTTTGTTTGTTTTTTATATGTATAAATTTTAAATTAATAAAATTTACTTGCTATATTTCTATATAAGTTCATCTTCATCATATAAATAATATTTTTAAATCGCACATTTTTCTCTTTTTATTTTATATTTTTGTTTTCTTTTTTTAATTTCTTGTATTTTTTATTTGAATTACACAACATTTCTATTATTTATCGTTTTTGTTTGTATTTTTTTGTTTTATACGTATGTTAAAAGATTTTTGTTGTTTTCTTTCTTATATATTATTGACATTGTTCTTCAAGTAAATGAGAAGATCTCTGTGTTTTGTATTTTTTTGTTTTGTTCTTATATATGTGGTTGTTGTTTTTTAATTACTTTACGTGTTCTTTTAACTTTAAATATCTTCAAATTGATTTTCATGAATTTGCTTTTCAACTTCGTTTCTGTTTAACTAACTTTAATTTATGTTTGTTGTTGCTGCTGTTGTTGTTGTATCTCCCAGTTGATTGTTGTTGTTAATGTGTATCGCTGCTTTAAATAATTTAAGAGTATTTAATAGAGGACTAATAAATTAGTTATACGCGTGATAGGTATTGGCAAAGTTTAATATAATTTATGATTTGATATCAACAAAAATGTTAATGAATTATATTTATTTATTTACCCCATTCATGTTCTTTGCGTGGATGTATGAGCGAGCGTGTGTGTGTGTGTATGGGTGTTTATGTGTGTGTGTGTGGGTGTGTGTGTGTGTGTGTATGGGTGTTTATGTGGGTGTGTGTGTGTTAAATAATAGTAGTAATAAATACAACGTTATACAAATAAGAGAGGTTTTCCATATTGTTAGAGTTCAGGTTAGACATAAAACAAAATGTAACAAATTCTAAAATGGATAAAAAAATTCGACATTTTTTACGCTTGAAAATGCTTTGCAATTATTTATAAAAAATAAACTTGCAGAAACTCACTGCGCAAGCATTTACGTGACTAAACAATAATAATACAAAATTGATGTTAAAAATATAATAAAAATGAATGAAGATATATAAAAAATATAGATAACTGTTGCAATTTAGTTTTGTTTCACGCACGAATTATACACAAAACTTGAACTAAATATCTCTTTTTTAATGCTAATTTACAAAGGAAATTAAATAGTAGATATATGCGTATATATATACATATATGTGTGATTTTAAAAAAATGATAATAGCAATTAGATTGATTTTCTTTCACTATAATTTTCTTTATGTAACTAGAAACTTTTCAAGTTGCTGAAGAAACGCGCTTTAGAAGCGCATTTTCGGCAAGTTTTCCATTTGTTTTGTTTTTGTTTTTATAGCAATTAATTTTATTTTTTCCTTTTGAAAAACTATGCTAATTGCCTGCCTTTAAGTTTAAGTTAACATAATCCAATTTGTTGTTTTTGTTTTGCTAATTGCATTTAAGTTTTGGTTTATACACATAATTCATTAGTTTCCATTTTGTTATTTTTGTTTTGATTGTTTTTATTTAGTTTCAATTAAAATTATAAGCCTAGGCATGGTTTAATGCTTTCCTTTTCTTTTGTGTATAATTCGAGCTGTCTGTAAGTGTGTGTGTGGTTGATTGTGTGTGTGTGTGTGTGTCTGTGTGACGTATTAGTATATGTATGTGTGTGTGTTACATTATTCATGTATAATTATATATGCTTGTGTTTATTTTTTAGTTACTCGAAATAGTTTTTCAAACATTTTGTTATTTATGCCTACTCTACACGTTGTTCTGTTTGTTGGTTGTTGGTTGGTTGTTTCGTTATGTTGTGTATGTATGTGTGTGTGTGTGTATGTGTTCTGCTGAGCTGCGGCGATTTGTTAACGACATAAACTTTAAAATTTATTTATCTGCCTGCTTGTTGTGTATGTGTGTGTTTGTCTCCTGCCTGATGCGCATATACAACATGTTGTTAAACGAACGATTTGCATTTTGTTTGTGTTTGTTGTTGTTGCTGTTGCCGTAATGTTGTTGTTGCTGGTGCTGTTGCTGCTGCTAATTAGGACGTACCATTGACCAATCCCTCCTTCTTGATGACATCCGTAGTAACCGCCTGATCCGCATGGTTGTTGCGATTCTTATTGTTGCGCCTGGGCTTTGACTGCTGCTGCTGTTGCTGTGGCCCCTGTGGCTGTTGTGCTTGCTGCGGCAGCAACTGTTGCTGCTGCTGTGTGGCCGCCTGCTGCTTGTCGCTATTCCGCGGCGCATCCTTCGACTTGCCAGTCGAGGCGTTCGCATTGCCGCTGCTTTGTTTGCTGTTCTCCTGGGCATTCAGCGGCGCTTTGTTCGATTGTGCTGGCGCCTGCTGTTGTTGCTGTGCTGACGTCGAAGACGACGCTGATGGCGGCTGCTGCTGCTGTGATTTGTTGTTGTTGTTGTTGTTGTTATTGCCCAACGCGCCATTTGCTGCAAGTGTATTCAGAATTTGTTGAGCTTGACGAGCATTTAAGTTGAACTCGCCTCACCATACTCACTGTTGCCGGGCGCATTGTTGTTTTTTTGCCTTCTGCGTCTTCTCGAGCTGCCCTCGTACGATGAGTTGCTGTCCGCTGTGCCGGAAGAAAGAAACATATATGTGTACAGGCGACGCGATTGAAAAAACAAGTGCTGGCAATATTAAGCGGGGGTTCAACCCAATCAGAAATTAAATTTATAACGTCAAAAGTCTTATTACATATGGGGTTACATTGAATTGTACAAATTGGATTCATTTGTTGGCCAAAAAAAAAAAAAACATATATATATATATACATATATATACGTGTATATACTCACAACCACACACACTCACACAAACACACATAAGCTAGTTATATACAACAGTGGTTGCTTGAATATAGAGAACGTCTTGGCCCCCCGCTTAAACGATCCTCAAGCCGACTGCACTCCCTCTCCCTCTCTCTTTCTCTCTGTCCTAATCCATTCGTTGCTTGGTCAACTCACCACGCTCCACGCTGCTCACTTCGCGCGTCTCTCGCATCTCATCGGTGTGGTTGTGGTACTGATAGTCCCTGCCGTTCTGCTCGTTGCGTGGCGGCCGGCGATTGATACCGCGACGATCATTGCCGCCGCGATAGTTTTGGATGCCTCCACTTCCGCCACCGCCACCGCCACTGACACCGCTGCCGCTACCGCCACCACCACCACCACCACCGTTGTTGCCAGCATTTGGTGGGCCACCGCTGTTGCGATCATTGTAGCGCTGGTCGCGCTGATGATCGCCGCGGGAGTTGTAGTCATCGTCTTCACGCCGATTGTTGTGATAGCGATTCATGTTATTGCCACCGCCGCCACGGCCGCGACCGCGACCGCGCTGACTACCACCGCCGGCGCCACGTATCGAGCGCACAGATTCAATATCGCTGCTGTAGCCACGCTCTGAGCGCCGCGACACAGCGAAGCTCTGTGTGGAGCCCATCGAGGACTCCTGTATGGCGCGCAGCTTTTGATCGATTGCTATCTTCTCCTGGCGCAGTTGCTCCAGGTCCTAACAAACAGTATAAATTGGCATTAACACCGATTACATTGTGTTCGTAACTGATCAGAACTCACCTTCAGGTGTGACAGATGATACTCCAGCAGCACTTTAGCATTCGCAATGCTTTCCATGGTGCCAATGAACACAAAGGGTACGTTCGCTGGCTCGCGTGGTATATTTTGATCCTGTTCGTCATCGCCAGCGATCTGTGTTTTTGTTGTTGCAAGATTAGACCATGCCAGGCAAGGTGCACAATACTCACAGCACTCACCTTGATTCGAAACACTCCGCTTTTATCCACGATCTCCTGTATGATGCGACCATTCTTGCCAATCACTTTGCCAACCAGCTCTCTGGGCACTTGAAAGAACTCCTCGGCATATTCGAGCATGGCTCGTGCCCGCTGCACCGACTCCTCTGTCTCGCCGCTTATCTTGATTGTGCACGATTTTTCCTCTACCTCAATATTCGTAACGCCGTCCAGCGTGCGTGCCGCTTGTATATTGGTGCCGTGTGAGCCAATTGCCAGGCCCATGAGATCATCGCGCACACGAAATTCCTCGATAAAGTTGCTAAAAAGACATAATAGAAGATGTTATATATTATATTACATTATGGATTTGAAGGCGAAAGAATCTGATATGAACAATAGCCTCAACTTCTTTACAGATCGCTCTAAAAATTCTTAAATTCCTATTTAATTACATTGTACTTTATATAAATCTAATATAACTTACCCACGACTCATAAGCATGGTCGTTTCGAGCTGACGCGCAGCTTCTTCAGTCCTTTTCAATAGCATACCCTGGGATTTAATAAGAATAATTATTATCTATTTATACATAATGTAGTTAGATAATGGCACCTTTTGTGAGAGATTACGAAAATGCATATCCTTGAGCATGCTGGCCCGCTTCTGAGTGTGTTCCCATTTCGAGATGACAATTAAGGCATCTATATCGCGATTATAGTTACAAACAGCTGCATCGATGCTGCGTTGAAACTCCTTGAATATGCCATCCTTTTGAGCTCTACAAAGCAAATATAGATATTAAGTATTACATTTGAAAATCAACTAACATTAGTATACTCACACTTCGCGCAGCTCTTCGGGCACGGGCAGCGTGAACTGATAGAACGATTTGGGCGTAATTGGCGGATTTGGATTTTTGGCGCGCAATCTGCCCAAGTCACAGATTTCGGTGTAGGGCGTCTCGAAACCAATGTATGCGACCGCACAAATATCAGCTTTAAGCATTTTGATGACAGCCACCCACCAGCCGCACGTATCGCGTTCGTTTGGGCACGTGAATACCTCCACCTCCATGCCCTCCTCAAAGCTGGTCGCCGCAACGACAGCTACATCGGGCGGCAGGCGAACATTGACGAATGCGTATTTCATCACCTCAGGCACGCTGTAGCACAATGAGACAAGCAGACAAAATAACAAAAGTTAAGGCAGAGAAAACATTTACTTCGTTCGCCATAATGAGCCAGGCAAATGTTCATTTAAATGCCGTGTGCCAAAATATTTGATTGCGAACATGGCTGCAGACAAGTGTTTGTCGACGTTGGCGTCGACATCGACGCAAACGACGACGACGACGACGCCGACGCAGACAGCGCTGTCGACGTTCAGTGCAGTGGCTGGCCGTATGCCAAGCGTGCTCAACACACAATCGCGGGGGTGCCCCCTATTTTTTTTTATACCTAAGACATAGATCGGAAATGACAAACACAGGCACACAGACACACACGCACACACAGACACTGCAGAGCAGCAACAGGGTGGCAACTAAATTTAGACTCAGCTGCGCAAGCTCAGCAAAAATAAATAACAAAAAATAAATATATATGCATATATATACATAAATCAAATTAAAAACCGACTAAAAATCTTCTAAACTGAAACTACAAAAATTGCTCCAAAAATGCAACAAGCGAAAAGCATAAGAAATTGAACTGTAGCAAGTCGAGGATTAAATACTCTTATTGCCAAATTTATGCGATTTAAAGTGCAAAATATATATTTCTGAATGAGCTTAGCTACATAGATTAAAGTATTAATCTATATTGTATATATTGAAGCCATGGGCTGTTATGATAAGAATGCTACTAATAATCGATCAATAGATTTTATCGAAATTGTCTTAAAGCTGAGCAACTAATTGGATTTATATATATATATATGATGATTCTAAACATTCGCTAATATCTTGTGTTACACATGTGATGATGAAACGTGTAAACCCTGTCTGCAAGGATATAAACAAAACGAAAGCAAAGCAAAAGAAATGACAAGAAAAATGGTTTCTTTCCGCGATTAAAAATAGCTAACTGCGACGTCGACGTCGACTGCGACTGCGACGTCAGCTTCTGCTGCTGTGACTACTGTTTAGTGGCATTTGCCGCTGAGGGCTGACAGCTCAACGCGTGCACACACACACACATACACACACACGCATGCATTTGAAGAGCTGACACTTGGGCGGCACGCGGATCGCACGGTCAGTCCGTCTGTCATTTGTCTGAAGGAGCTTCAGCAGCATCATTTAACAAATTGCGCCAAATGAGAAGCGGACAAACGGTGGCGTCTCCCAACGCACAGCCGGATGGATGATGGGCGAGCGTTTGCCAAAAGACAAAGTGCAGTTTGCATCATTGTTGCAAATTGTTTGTAAAATAGGCACAAAACAACCAAAACATAGATCACATAATAATAATAATAATAATAATAATAATAGAATATATAAATTACAATATTAACAGGCGGCTGCTGCTGTTTGGTGGTTTGGTTTGTTTTGTTATAAATTTTGTCGCAAGACTTACCCGTCCACATCCACAAAGACGCCATCATCGCCGACAGCTGTCACCTGGCCCTGTTGTAGTTGTTGTTGTTTTTGTTATTATTATTGTAGTTGTTGCGTTGACGTAGACAGCGACAGAGACGTAGCGGCAGCGGCAGCACAAGAAAAGACAAGAGTGAGAGAAAAATGTGTGTCATTTATATAGTTGGTTTGCGTTAGTTGTTTTATGATACATTTCATAATGCTATAGATACATAATTTTGCTTTAAATTATACATTTTTATGAGCGAATGACCAGCCAAATGCCTTTAACAAAACGTGCCACACACGCGGGCAAACTACTCTTGGATACTGATAAGAAATGCAACGCAAAAACTAATCGCCAGCCCAGCAAATAAAACAGACTTTGATTGAGCTGGAGTAAACTTTAAATGCATATGCCGGACTCTATAAAAATTACATGCTTTTTTCACAAACCTCTTCGGAAATATTGTCCACATAATTTCCTTTAAAAAAGCATAAATGGAGTTAAGCATATTCCATTAAGTTACCTTGTGGACAAACTCACTTCGATATAAAAAATTCAGAAGAGTACTTTCTACTTTTAATATGCTTATTATGAAAAAGGAAAGAGTTTTTGAGTATACTGGAAAAAGTGAAGTTTCCCTTTACATAGTTGACTATCCTAGCTACTCCTTTGACAAGTTCATCCCATCAAAACAAAATCTTCGTCTAACGCTAATGATTTCAAACATTCGCCTGCATGAACGCCGCTCATTCAAACCCTTCAAGTACTGTGCGGCTAATGGCAAAGGTTGTCAATAAACTAAGAGCGTTCTTTTAATGAGAAGGAATACTATTGCATGTGCAAATAAATTCCACTTTGCTATCAAAGCCATCAAAACGTATTATGTATGTAAATCTGATAAGCTTTAGAGGGAAATCACAAAGCAGCAAAATTTTCGCCGCGAACGTCAGCAGAGCTGAAAGCAACTCTGTGGAGCCTGCCTGTCCATACATACACACACTCACGCACACAAACATTCACATACGCGAATATGCAGCGACGCTCGCGCAGGCGGCGACACACGCACACCCCCACACAGACAGCGAAAGAGTGCGCCCTATGTGAATGCGTGTTGATTTCTATGCTAATGTGTGTGTGCGTGTGTGCATGTGTGCATGCGTATTGTATGTGCGTATTTCGATGCGAGACTCCACTCAACAAAATGATGCAGGTATTTATAGAAATAAAGCTAAAATTTACGAAATTAGAAACTGAGGCCGTCGCTGCCTTCGGCACATGTTGCAGTTGCTGCGTTGACGTTGACGTCGACGTCAACCAGCAAAGACTGCGACTTCAGCTTTGGAGTACTCCCGTTGGCTCCCATTCTCTCTTACCTTGTAGTAGGCACCATTATCGAGTCGCACTTCGACCATAAGATCGTCCATTTTGTTAACCCTGTGTTCGCCGGTGTCCATCTCTTTTGTGCAGCTAGTTGTAGTTGTTGCTGTTGTAATTGATACTACAGTACTCGCCCCGCCAATCGCCGCACTCAAGCCGACGTATTTTGTGTGTTAGCCTCTGAAATTCAAAAGAGGAGAACTGAAATTAAATTAAAGAGAATATGGATTTGTAACGCAACACCTACACAACGACAAAGGTTAACGTTGTTGCTTCAAATCTTTGTTATTCCCTGCTGTTGCTTTATCAGTCTTTTGCTTTGTTGCTCGTTTTGTTTTTGTTGTTGTTGCTTTTGCGGTGGTTATGCTCGCTGTTGCACCCACACACACATACGTACGCTCAACTCTCGCAGTTCCTGAAAAAATAAACAAGAGCAAGAGCTGACAATAACAATAATACAGTTTAAGGCGAAATTATGTGCTTATAGATTGACACGGGCAAATTAACGGCATAGCGGCCTGACCAATGCGGACGGTGGCGAATGGCGAACGGTAGAGAGCAGATATTAGCGGCAACAGCCGCGCGATGGCAATCAAAAGTTTTGAAGTTATTTTGGGCTAAACATAGGAAATTCCTTTCTGGTCGAGAACGGTAGCTAAATACCAAGAGCAACAACAACGACGCCGACGACAACGACAACAAATGCAGCGAGAACGTCAACGCGCTTTTGCCGGGGCAGCGCTGGTCCGTTGTCTTCTTCTTTATTTTATAGCCAGCGCCGCTGCGCCGTCGTCTTTCTTTTGTGTCTTCACATCACTTCTCAGCTCTCACACACAGACACACACCAACACTCACACACCCATACACGTAGATATGGATATATATATATATATAAATATATATATACATCCAACTGTCAGCAGAAGCAGCAGCCGCCGCCGAAATGCTGAGCACGCTTTTCCAATAAGAATTTTATGCACACACACTAACACACATGCCTCAGCACATGCCGATTTTTCATACACACATACAAATGTATCGAATTTTTAGTCATCATTTCTTGAAACTTCCGTAAATTTTTGTGAATAAAATTTTTAAACTACATTCGCATTTTCAACTATTTCACACTACGAGCGCTTTTTGTAGAATTTTTCATTATTTTCAGCTCTCTTTTGCTGCACAAATTCGCCGCAGTCTCGGCTGCTGCCGCCTTTGCCGCTGTGCAAAAATTTTTTCGCTTCTTGCAAAAAAATTCTTCAGACGAACTACGCGACTTTATAATTACGTAGAATGTTTGGAATGTTAATGCACTTACGGCTGCCCGGCACGTTGATCCGCTAAATTGTTTAATACTAGCTTCAATCTTTTGAAAATAAAAAATATATCGCGTGCAGTGCGCTGCTTTACTGCTTCCAAAAATTTTTTTTTCGGCTGCGCTGCGTTCTCTTCGCTTTGCTTTTGCACACTGCTTCGCACCTCAGCATTCGGCAATGCTGCCAACTCGATGCAATCGCCTCGCGTTCGTAACAATCTCTCACAAATTTAGCTTTGCTCGCTCGGCTCTTTAAATGTTTCGAACACAATAAATTCAACAATATTATTTGGATAAATACTTTTTGTAAAATAACCCAATGTTTGCTTCAAAACACACTCGATAAACATATGTGACATGAAGCGCACGGTTGGGCAACACTGCAAACTGACAACCAACTGGGCGTTGCCAACTGTTTGATTTTGTTGTTTCACTTTCGATAGCTAACCAGGGCTGCAAGCAATACAGAGTTGCAATGTGGCGCACGCAAGCATCAATTTTGAAATTTCCTTTTCAATGAGGTGAAAGAGAAATATTTCGCTCACTTTGCTGCTCGTTGCCAATGATTTAATTAAGTTGTTTGATCATTGAACCGATACCATCAGCACAAATCACATGTGGCTCGCAACTCAATTGAATTTCGTTTGATTTCAATTTGCTAAATTTCTCAAATGGCAATCGAGTCACATTTTTATAGACGCCTCTTAAACAAAACATTGCAGACCTTTGCCGTTTAATGTAATTGTATTGGCTATTGGGGTTAGTCGCATGACTTTATTTTGTTTTTTTTTTTTTTTCATTTTTATGTTATGCTCAGCTGGGAAAAAGTCGCGTGACGGTGGTTTTTCATCAATTTGTTTCTTTTTCCGCTTTAATTTCTTGTTATTATTTCTGAAATGCAGTCATACACTGTTAAATGCACTATGATGTTAATTAGCTGATAAGCCGTTTTCTATTTTCGAATAATAAAATACCTGTTTACTATATTACTATATTTTAAGACATGCCGATAAGCATGCTATTTAATCGTTTGTTCTTTAAAGAGTTAAATTAAATATAAATATAAATTAAATATATATAATAGAATTGATTTCAGTGTTGTAAATGGCAATTAACGAATTTACAGGGTATCAATTTTCGCATATCGCAAAAGCCACACATGTCGCAATTGAGCGTCGGCAGTGATTTGCAGCGGAAATGCCTTTTGATTTACACTCAAGCTCATTGGTGAATAAATTCTCATCAATTCACTCTCTCTCACACACACACACAAGTGCGCTACTCATTAGAGTGTCAACAGCGCAGTCGATAGCCAACAGCAGCATTTTTTGACATCGACTTTTGTTATGTATTAAGTGCAGTTTAACGACGCGACGTCGACAGCACAGTCCAACAAAAGGCAGCATACATGAATACACACACACACCCATACTCTCTCTCTCTTGTCTAGAAATTTGTCTCTTCAATTAGCTTGCATGTAGCAAATGGCCTGCAACAACTACAACAACAGCAGCATATGCCGCTTGACCCCGCATTAATTAATATCAAAATTTAAATTAGCAAATCGTCTGAGCAGAACCTACCCCTCAGCCTCTTATTAATATCAATTTAGATTTATTTGCATCGTTAACCAAACATGTGCCAAAATTCAAGCGCGCGATATTTTGGTTGAATTGATATTTTCAATTCAGCTGCTGCAACGTCACTTCCGTCGTCGCCGTCGCAGCGCTGCCGGAGCACGCGCTGGATTCGCAGCTGCTCTCATTTCGATCTCGCTCTCTCTTTATGTCCCTTTAACTCCGCAACAGCTGTTAGTTGCGACTACCTTTTATTACGCCTATTTATTGCTCATTTAGCTTTACATGCTTGCTTATCAATTAATCGCCGCGTCTTTAGTTTCGCAGCAGCGCCGTCGACAGCGACAACCGTTCGGTAGATTGCAATTCGCTCGGCTTTCTTCGGTTTGTGTTGTTATTGCTGCTGCTGCTCTTGTTCTTGTTGTTTTTGCTATAGTTGTTGCAGTTGTTTAATCAGCTCCATTTTGTGGTCTTTTTGCTAGTGCGAAATATAGCGAGAGAGTGAGGGAGAGCGAGCATAGAATACCCCGAAAAACAGCCAACCTGTATGTGCCCATGCCATAATCCAATCCAATTCTTACCGTCTCTCTGCGTGCAATTGTGTGCGTCTTTGCATGTGTGTGTGCCTGTGTTTTTGTTGTATGTGTATGTGCACACTTATTCGCCCGATGCTCGTACGGCATTCAGTAATCATTCTGTGCTGTGGGCTGCGGGTTCACTTCTTCGTATCGGTTCGCCTCGGTTTTGGTTATAAAAGGCGACGATTCCATTTTAGTTTTATGGAGTTGTCATTGAGCTCGCAAGGGATTCGAGTCCTTAACAGTCGCTCTTTAAACTAATACAAATAAAAGTGCAAGTGTGTGAAAAATAACAGTTAAATTCAATTAAATTCCGTAAAAGAATTTAAAAATATTAAATAGAGATGCATTTCCTTGCCGTTTTAGGTAAATTTTAAAAATTAATTTCAATAGTTTTTGCATTTGTTTCACGTATTCATAGTTCTAAGTTCTAAGGTATTTTTGCCAGTATGCTGGAATGCTGCAATAACGAGTGTAATTATATGTGTTTCGAACAGACATTCTTCAGATTTGTTCTACAAAAGTTTTCCATTACCAAAAATGCGAATTGGCACGTCTCACGCTTTATATAGCCTGCTCTTAAGTCACAGGCCCATTGTTGCTCAGTGGAAACACTTTTGATCTCACTTCGATAATTCGCAATTCAAGAAAACGTTTATAAATTTGAACAATCTTTGAAGTTGTGAACATTTTATTGGATTAATGAAAATTACTTATATGTTATCATTTTTTAGTAAATCAGTTTCTGCTATAAATCGGGGAATTTTCCTCTTCATTTAGCTAATTAAAAAAACATAACACATAAAACACATAGTCAAAGCTGTTGAAAATCAGATAAAATTGTCGACTCACGTAACTTCTGAAGTACCTTGACATCATGCGTCACATAGAGTTACAATAAACATAGGTAAACAATAATCTATTAGGCAATTTGACAGAATTTTATTATCAATTGTCTAACTGTTAAGCCCAAGCAAAGCGTTCAAACATGCCAGATAACTCGGACTCTTGACTCAGCGGTGCCTATAAAATCTGGCAAATAGCCGCGCCCTCCCACTGACCACACACATATTGATAGGGTCAGTGTAATCAAACATGAATTGAACTCAACACTCGTAAAGGTTCCCCTTGCGGGTGTCAGCTGTTGGTAAGTTCTCGATCAGTTCGTGATCAGTTTTCAATCAGCTCTCAATGGAAAGCAATAGAAACAATACTAGAGTATATAGTCATCGATTAGTAAGCTTGTACCCTCGATCAGCTCTCGGCCATTAGATCTCCTTGAGTTCAAGGTCACATCTGAAACACATCTATATAGCACTTTTCAAATATTTTTCTATTATTACTCAATAAGGATTTTGAGCTATTCCTGATTCAGATCTTGATTCACTCTTGAGCTGTTATAGATCAGTTTGGCAGATTCTCTGTTCTTGATCAGTTCTCAACAATAAGTTTAGCATGTCTCGATTACGATTAGGAATTAGTTCTCAGTCAAGTTTCCAGGCGCTCTTGAGCTAATTTTTCCTTCTGAGTCAGTTTTCGTACAGTTCATGAGTAGTTCTCGATCAGTTCTCTCAATCAGCGATATCGATCACATCTCGAGCTCTCCTCAGGCACTCCTCTAATTTGGCTCACCTAATCGAAGTGCGCTATAAAGCAATTTTGTTTGCCTCAGATTGAGTTTCGCAAATCGCTGATAAAGCTGTGCAAAAATAAAGCACTTTGATAAGCGGCCATTGGGCATGCATAAGCACATATTAAACAATTATTTGGGAATTATAAGTATAAAGTTTTATAGTCGCGCTCGCCGCAGAGACAGATTCGATTTCGATTCCGATTCCGATTTGCGACTGTAAAACTTAATAACAAGGCACGCCATGATAACGCAGTAGCGCGTTCCGAGCTTCTGGGTTTTTGTATTAAAGATTAGCAGAGATTTTGGTTAAAGATATAGTGGGCCAATTATATATACCTGTGTGTCGTTCATGTTATTAAATGATTATACAACGGCAACCGCAACGGCATCGCCGCTGGCAGTGCGTCAATTGGTTATTTTGCTTTGATAATTGCTAATGAATCAAGATATTTATTTGCTCTACTATGTAATGAGTTTTTCTTCAAGAGGCTTCCTCTCCGATAGCTGCAACACTGATTGCTGTGCATTAAAAACAACTCAACTTGAAAACTATCAACTTCAGATAACACGAAGATTTCGCATGCATGAAAATGATAATGCAAATCGTCATTTGTTTTCCAATTGAAGTGCAACAAACCGTGTGAAAATCATCACAATTGACACGACCCTCAACCCCGGGACGACTGCCTATAGATAGTTTAGCTATCAGCTTCCGTTTTACATTGATAGCTATATATATTCACGTATATATATAAAGACAATCGGCAATCAGTTGCAATGTACTACTTAAACTCAGTGCTGATTTGTGCTTATCAGCTGTTTGTTTATAACTTATAATTGCATTTTGAGTTCTTTGATATGCGTGAAGAACAGGCCAGGCCAGCCCACTTCCATCAAAGTTGATGGAAAGTTTTCGCATTGCCATCGATCTTTGTCATAAAATCTGGTACTTAAATAATAAACTCATTCATAACAGCCAAAATAAAGCATAGACCACATTTATTTCGTGCAATCAGCTCAGTTAATTGGCATTTGGCAACGTCTTCCTTCGTTCACAGTCCAGAGTCAATTGAATATGGCCAGAGATAAAGCGTAGGCTTAGTTACGTACGAATCAATCAATTTCATAACTAAACTAAGCGCAAAGTAATATGCTCATTTCATACTTCATGAGCGGGCATCAAATGTCTAATCAATCTTGTCAACATTTTGAAATGTAAATTTGACTATAAGTCAAATTTGATAGGCTTAATATATAACTTATTAAATGACTTATATTGATTAATGAATATTTTTTACGATAATGAGATATACTATAAATAGAGTAGTACAAATTCTAATCAATCTAGATCAGAGTTCATCAGGTTGTCAACATCTTGAATATACTTTCATTGATCTAGAATAAGCAATGACTAATATGAATGATAATGCTAATATGACAGAATGCTCAAGTAGTCTAGACTGCATCCAAAGTTCAAGTAGTTGCGGACATATTTAATATCAAGTTCAACAATGAAACATATTTTAATTAACTTTTGTATTCGATTTCTTTGATGAATAATCATAGTGATGATACTTATGATACTGACAATGAATGAAAAGTCAAAATTGCTATCAGTTCATATATATAAATATTCGTTATTTGTTAGAAATTTAGTTTCAAATATAACAATTAAACAGATGTATGAGTAGTAATAATAATGATAATCATCATAGTTTATACGTCAAAGTGTTCATTCAGTCTAGACTTGATGCCATCAAGTTCAGCAATGAAACATATTTTAATTAATTTTTGTATTCGATTTCTTTGATGAATAATTATAATGATAATACTTATGATACTGACAATGAATGAAAAGTCAAAATTGCTATCAGTCCATATATATGTATAAATATTCATTATTTGATAGCAATTTAGTTTTAAGTATAACAATTTAAGTATAACAACAGATGTATGAGTCGTAATAATAATGATAATCATCATTGTTTATACGTCAAAGTGTTCACTCAGTCTAGACTTGATGCCATCAAGTTCAACAATGAAACATATTTTAATTAATTTTTGTATACGATTTCTTTGATGAATGAATAATCATAATGATTATGATATTGAGAATGAATGAATAGAAAAAACTGCTATCATATGTTACTGATGAATGATATATGCTGATGAATGAGTAATAGTAATAACAATGCTAATGATAATGCTAATAGTTTAAGTGACAGAAAGTTCATTTAGCTTCGACTCATTGCACAGTTCAAGTAATTTTAACTAAATATATTTAAAATATTTTGTCATATTATGAATGAGTAATGCTAATGAGTAACAAAAATTTGACAGTTCTAGTAAAATGTACAGAGCGAGTTTCGAGTTTTATCTTTGCTTTTTTCGTCAGCTTGCATTTCCTTAAGATTGGCTATCAGTTTGAACGTATTCACATGACCCGCACTGTATGATAATAATTTCTATATTGGCGTTATCAAGAACGCCGTGTGATAATCGCATAAAACAGAGCGCACTCCCGAAAATCGTTTATCAGAGCGAACGACTTTGATTATAGTGGATAATATAAGAAATGTAAATACATTTTACAATATATGGAAAATCACTGAGAGGGGCGTCTGGCGCGCAGTGAGTAGGCGAAAAAAGTGGATAGGCCTTCGCCAGAATGGCAATAGCTGATGCCATTTTATCGCGACGAATGCAAAACTGTCTCAATTGTTTTCAGCTGACATGGCCAAAAAAGTGCGGACAGCTGCTATAAACAACAGCAGCAGCCGCCAAATCGAGTCGAATGCCACTTGACAACGCGTAGCCTGTAGCCTGAGAAACTGACTAAGCGAACACATATCCCGTTGTCAAATCTGGCCAAACGCATGTCAGCTTTGTTGCTAAAGTTGACATGTGCATCGCTCTGACACTGACAGACGCTGAGACAAGGCAATTGTGGCCGCGGCTCAGCATTTTTAGTGCCAAGATCGAGAAAACGTTTAGCTATGACGCTTTGGGTACGCTCGACTGGCACATCTCCTGTAACTAATGCAGAGCTGTACTTTTGCTTAAGCAAGTCCAATGACATCTTCTGCTAATTAATAGAGAAGTATTAGGTCGGTGTGTTGAGCAGGGAATGATTTCTGATGCATATCGATTACATGGCAATTGAAAGGGATTTAAATTGATATCTTAAATATGGGATTTTTTTAATTCCTCAGATTTGTGGGAGCATGATATGCTCAGAGCACAAATTAGATTATAAATATAGAGCTATAGAGATAGTCTCGCGGAATTGAAGTTGATAAAGATATATATATAAGCCTTAGCTATAGAAGACTTCATTACCTTGTCGAAGTGGCTTCAAATCGGTATACCTCTCTCAGCTCTAACTCTATTTCTTATAGGGCATACAGTGTTTTTAAAATAAGTTGCATATTTCGCATTTTGCTCTCTCTCTCTCCATCTCTGTCGCGCTCTCAACTTTCTCGCTCTTCTGTGTTTTGTGCAATTTTTCGCATTGTTTTGGCATCCGCGATGCAATTATCGTTTTGTTGGCAGTTTTGTTCAACACTCCGGGTAATTGTTACGCCACCTCCCCAACGGCTGCCACTGCCCCTTTTAACAAGTTTTAATTGCTTTTTGGTTGCATGCGAATCTTAATTACAGTCTGCCCTATGTTGCATGTGGCTGCTGCTACTGCTGCTGTAATTAACTATATCAGTTCGTATCTGACATCCGATAGATACTCGCTCTCCTATATCGTTTAAGTATCTAATAATTTAGCTGAATTTTTGCTGCAATTAAAATATTTCAGCTGGAATTAGTTGTGCTTCATTTTAATCTGTTTGATTGAAATGTGAAATTGAACTCCATATATGCCTGAGGGCTCTTCACTTTATTATCTCTCATATAATTATGATTGATGACAGGTGTTAAAGGTGCTAAATGTTATCAGCAGCGGAAATGATTTGGCAATTGAAAGGAGGAGCAAAGGCTAAGCAACTAGACATATTGCACCGGAGTATAAACTGCTTTGGAAATGCTTAAGCTCTTATATACATACATAGGCACATACACGCACACACACACACACTCACACATCTACATTTGCTTCGCTAATTGCTTTTACTCGGCCTACTCTCCCACACTATGTGAGCTGTGTTATTAAATAACTTTGCTTCCACTTGTACAATCTTTATGAAATTTTCAGCGCGTAATTATGACATTCAAATGTGTGAATGAGGCATTCCAAGTTGAATATAACAAATCAGGCAGATATATTAATATTTGGTTATGATAAAGAAATGGTTTGAGTATTTTTAGTTCATCTACAATCGATCGAGCTGAGTCGAGCTGCCTTTCCCTCCATAAACCTATATTTGTTTCATTCTTTTGCTGTTTACCATATCTGGGTCTATGGGTGAATAAAGAGTTGACCATGGCTAGTTAGAATTAGTTTATCGTTCTGCTTAGGAACTTAGTCATACATATACAACCTCTTTTGCTGACGTTTATAAATTATATTATATTTTTTTTAACAATTTTCAATGCGTTTGAGGATCGATCAAAAGAAGACATTGCCGATTGAATTCAATATATATATTTTTTGAAAATCTTTATTCCTTTATATTTTGAGAGTAATCAAAAAAGTGATCAAAATAAGTTAGTTTATAAAATAGAAATATAAATATCAAAACAAAATATATATAAGAAATATATTAATATATATTGAGACATTTTAATAAATATATGAGAATCAAAGACAGTTGCAAAATATTTAACGCCAAATATATATAGTATATACCATTTAGTTAATTGAAAACTATTCCACTTTAAGTAGCAATAATTTTTGTTTAATTCTACATACTAAAATAATATTTTAAAATTAATTAGAAAGCGGATCGCTCCTATTGATATAGCCTCTTTTAAATTGGGCCATAAAATAAATGTTTTCTATGCGAAATGCTTGTCTGTTTGGTGAACTCATTTGTCTGCAAAGCTATAATTGGTTTCTGCAATTGGAAACATCAAAATCTCATTAGACATGTGCACAATAGCACTCAGACATAGATATACATGCATCAGTGTAAAAACTGGCGTACATTGTCTAGAATTTCTAATTGAAAAGATTTCGAGTTCCGGCATCAGCTGTTGGGCACGTGCTTCGAAGAAGAAAAAACTCAAATAAACTATATAGCACATTTCGCAAAACCATAAATCCAGAAAAATTGTTTTCTTAGCTGCTGTCGTCATTTGGGTGAAAGCATATATAAGATATATCTATATATATATGTACTATATAGCTCATTCTATTTTCTTCTAATGTCAAATGGCAGCATAGATATTTGAAAGATTTGGCAAATCGTAAATCAGAAGCTTTTCTTTTCCATGTATTTTTACGATCGTTTTTATTAACCCCTTGATGGCTATATAAACACTTTGAGAGCTATGCGAACGGGTCAAAATGTATCGTTAACGACACATATATCTTAAAAAATTAAAAAAGAGTCTTCAATTCGCACACCATCAACTTTTGGGTTGACATATGCTGATGCTTAGCTGCCAAAATGCTTTTAAAAAATCCAATTCGAGTGAAAAATACAGAAAAAAATATACATTTTGCTTATATTGCAGATTTTTGTGTGCTTCAATTGGGTAGACTAGTTTCTTGAAATCGTATGTTGATGGCAGCGGTAGGTTTCTAAATGCAAAAAGTGTATATATATATATATATAGGAAAAGTATCTTATATAAAGTTGTTTAGCAAGAGCTGAGTAGCCAGCTCTTAATGAGTTGAGCTGAGTTAGCTCAGTCTGACTTGGGGTCTACTTGGGTACTTTCTACTTGCTTATCTAACACGTTTTTCTTTCATGAAACAGATTTTGAGACTTCAATAACTTCAGAGTTATCAGAGCTAAATGCATCAAATTTAGCTTGAAGAAATACTACAAAAATCATTTATATATTATTTTCAATGGCTTTTGCATATTATCTACTTATCTCCATTTCTTCTTAAGTGCTTTAAGAGCTAGAGATATCAAATTTGCCATGTAGTTGCAGTGGCATTGGCAGGCTGCCGTTTAGTAAATATAAACACATCTAGTCCTAAATAACTTTTGCACGCGTGTAAGTTTAATATAAAGTTTCCTTTATATGGCTACTGTTGATGGGGATTGATTTGGAGACTGGTTAAACTCTAGAGATGGTTAGTTAAATACTTAAGCAGCTTATCTGTCAGACTAAGCAAATGCCAAGCATTGCGTATCTAAAATCTTTCTTATAGATGCTTGTATCTATGCCTTGCTCCATTTATAAGTCAACTAGGCAATCGGCCAACGAGTTCTACTGAGTATATTCAATAGTCACCCACTTTGAAATTTTATTTATGTTATGCAAACATTTGCAAATGCAATTAAATTATAATATAATTCTCAAATATATGCATGGTATACATTATGTTTATAGACGAGCTGCCGCTGCCGCTGCTGCTGCTGTTGCTGCCGCACGGCGACATCATAAATTCGGGGCATTATTTTTAGTTTGTTTAGCCGGCCAAAGTCAAGTGCAAGGTGCTACGGCGCGGCTGTTGACGTTGCCAAAGAGTCGACGTTCACAACATTATGTGTAGTCTATATAAAGCTCTTCTGCTGCCCTTCTTTGTTCATTTAACTTGTCTTTTATGGCACACATTGCACATTCTGTGCCATTTTGATGGTCGGAAAACGTGTTCGACGCAAACTTTTATGTCGGTCAAGTTGAAGTGTACCCAGAAAATAAATAATTACATATTTTTAAACACACGCATGAGCATGAAAAGCCTAATGAGTGCATTACACTTGTTGCTCATGCTCAAGTCTTACACGGCGTATACTTAATGTTTGACTTTTTCTTTATTTATTGCAGCTTGCAGCTTTTTGGCCCTCAGCGCCGCCAGCGAATGGGGCTATCCAGACCTGGACAACAACCAGGATGAGCGTAAGTAGAGCCAATAAAAGATATGCATGTGTGTGTGTGTATGGAGGTATATCTAAATTCGAGTTCATTGCGGAACTCATTGAAGCTCGTATTAGTTAATCAACGCGCATTTGCATAGTCGCCGCTTTCGGTCGTGGCTCAGCTGATCATAGTCAAGTGTCTCCCATTCCAATGCCCAGTTTTGATAGCTCTACAAATAGCGTTTATCTAAATTGTGCCAAATTGCCGTGCACACAAATTCGAAAACGACAAAGTAAATGAACTTAAAACAAGACATGGAATTTGTTGAATACGAATTGAGGCAGCTGTAATACCCTAGGGCAGTAATACGATAAAGATAACTAAGAGATGCGAGATAGGGTGAGTGAAGGAAGGAGAGAGATAGAATGCGATGGAGAGAGAGTGAGAGATATCGAAGGAGGGGTAGAAAGATAGAGAGACAAAGAGATGGGGAAATAACGAGAGGAAGAAAGACTAAGAGAGAGAGGAAATGAGACAAAGTAATAGAGAGAAAGACAGACCGAGAGAAGGTAAGAGAGAAAGTGAGAGACATAGAGAGATAGAGAAATATCGGGAGAGTGAGAGCGAGACAAAGAAAGGAAGGGAGCGAGTTAGAGAGACAAAAAGAGACAAGAGAGAACGAGGGATGGAAAGAAATATATATTGAGTGACAGAAAGAAAGTGTGAGAGAGAAAACCAGACAGAAAAAGACATAGAGAGAGTGAGACATATTAGGAGAGATTAACAAATAATGATGGAAAGAGAGGAATAGAAAGAGAGAGAGAGTGGGAGAGACTGACAGATATAAAAAGAGAGGGAGAAAACGAGAAATACCTTTGGAACCTTCGAACTTACTTGACGCCTTTTCATCTGATGGAAGTTTCATTACATCGTCGATTTGGAGTTGTACCTCAGCAGTGAAACTTTCTATGCCTTAAATCATTTTTGAGCAGTTTTTCTAAATTCATTGTTCATACGAAAACAGTTTGTGTGACTAATGTCACCTCTGGCATCATGAGGTAGACAACAAAGTAATAAAAATGTGACAAGTTTAATGTTCAGATATAAATAATAGAACTGAATATCTATGCATATCTATAAACGCCATATTATGCATAATGTATATTATATATATTATACATATTATAGATATATATAATATGAGCGATCAATGATGATATATAATTAATATATTATACTATACACATGAGTTCGCCTTGGTCAATCTCTTACGTGGTCAACTTATTCCCTGCAGCGCAAAATAATTATTATTTATATCATTATTTATATAACAATCAGTTGGAGTTGTAATCATGCTCTTTATTTATGAAACTCTTTATTTGTCCTTATATTTATAGCGTTTCCCAAGTGGGGCGGTCTGTGTGACACTGGCAGAAAGCAGAGCCCCATCAATTTGCATGTGAAGGGCGCACTGAAAGGCGAGTTCACTCCACTCAAGTTTGAGAATTACGACGAGCATCAAGGCGCACTGCAAATGGTCAACAATGGACACTCAAGTGAGCAGTCACCGTGGCCCATATATTCAAATTTAGCATTACTTAATTCAATTTGATTTGCAGTTCAACTCTCTGGCTTCGCTCACGATCTGACGCTGAGCGGCGGCGGCCTGGCCAACGACTTTGTTGTGGAGCAAATCCATATGCATTGGTGGTCGGAGCATACTATAAACGACATACGCTATCCACTGGAGGTGCACATTGTGCACCGCAACAAGATCTATCCCAACATCACTATGGCAGCCAACTTCAAGGATGGCATCACGGTGATCGGCGTGCTCTATCATGTGTCCAATACGCCCAATGATGCCATCGGCAGCATCATCAAGAGCCTGGACAATGTGAAGAGCTATGCACAAATGAATGTGCCCACCCATGTGGCGGATAGCCTGGCCGTGGACGATCTGGTGCCCAGTGTGGACACATATTTCACATACGCTGGCTCCCTGACCACGCCCACCTGCGCAGAGGCCGTCACCTGGATAGTGCTGACGAACACGTTCCCAGTGACACTCGATCAGGTGAATCAGTTCAAGGAGATTGAATACAAACAAGACAAACAGCTCCACAACAACTATCGCGAGCTGCAGAGCGAGAATAATCGCGCCCTGGTCCTAGTGCAGCAGCAGCAGCAGCAGCGGGACTCAGCCGGTAGGCTATCCGCTCAAGGCTTAGGTCTAATAGTGCTGCTGGGTGTGGCAGTGCGCCAACTGCAGCTGTAATCTGTGCAAACATGAGACAGCTAGATAGATACCAAAGACCCAAATCCAAACCAGAGAGCAACGACATACCAGACACAACTTATACTCATTATTTGAAAGCAGGATTCAAATAAATTCATATGAAATTTCAACTAGTCAATTGATGTGACATTCAAAGCATGTGCCTTAAATTTAAACTACATTTAACTATATAATAAAGAAAACTTTTATAAGCACTTCGACATGCGTTCTATTTTTGCGTTGTATGGTCAACGCTGCGTATGCGTAACCTGTTCAAAGTTCAGAAGTACGGACTTTACAGGTTTCAACTTGTTGCAAATTTGCTTTAATAATTGCCGCATAAATACCTCCATCGAATATCTAATTATAGCTGTTGAGCACATATGTATAGTGTCATTAGGTTTATTTTTATTGTTCATTGTGATTCTGTGAATGTGGCACGAGCTGGTCAACTTTATGGATTTAGTATAGTTGACCATAGGCACGCGATAAAAGAAAATCACCTGCTGACTTGCTGTGTGACTAAATATAATACAGATAAGCATTAGACTCATTGTCAAGTGACCAATGAAATCCGCAGATAACATTAATGGACAGTTATTATCGGTTACTTTATAAGGTACCAAAATAGTATGGGTATATGACTGCAATGCAGTTTGATTCTTTTAAATTGCTGATTACTTGTTGTTGATTATTGTTAAAGAATAATTAGCGTGGCCAAATTTATTGGTCCAACTTTACAGCGATTTGGCTGATGAAATTCGATTTAAATTATTGATGGGGTCTAAAGCAAAGTTGTAACATATATGTATATAACGAAACATATTAAAGGTAATTCAGTTTTTTTTTCAAAGTTTCTTATCAATATGTCTTACATTTATATTAAAGTTGTATATAAATTAAATTTGAGTTAAACTTTGCTCAGCAAAAAACCGATGCATGAAGTCATTGACTGGTCAAGCAACTAATTGAAATATAGATGGCGCTATTATAAAAATGCCTAAAAGCATGCAACACTTTTTACTCGTATGCTTGCATACCTTACTTTCGATTTGGTCTCTGCTTCGATTTATTAATATATTTGTTACTCACGCTTTCCAACTAGTTTCGTTTATTTTAATTTGAAATTTAATACATCATTTATAAATATTAATAAATTCGGTTTAAGCTTAGCATATTAGATTATTGACAACCATTTGTTTTATCATTATGTATATTTTATACTATTATGTATATTTTATACTTATGTTCCAATAACTTTTTTGCTTACATTTACAAGCGTCAATTTTTTTTAATTTGGTTAATTTTTATTTTGGTGGCTTTCAATATTGGTATAAAATTTGAGACTTATGATGATGAACAAACATTCTAGAATCAAAGATGCCACCTAACCACTCCTAGACACATTTGCATTATAATAAATTATAAAATACTATTAAACAAATTAAGTTTAGCCTAGTCATATATATTTTCTCTGAATTAATCTCTTAAAATTTTTATCGATATTGTTTTACAGATTTGCTTGTCCTAAAGAAATTTCTAATTGAAAATATTTGCTTAGATCTTAATGAATATGTTTCAACTATAGTATATTAAAATTATTTAAAAGTTATTCTAAAGTTGGTCCAAATATTGATCATAATAAAATATTGATCAGCCTCTCAAATTTGTCAACCAACATGATTTCACAATTTTCTGTATGCTTTCAGAGTTTCTTTAGAAAATAAGTAATGTTCCGCCTTCTGCTACGATTCATTAATAACTTTAAAATATAAACTAGTCGCATTTAAATAGACATTTCTCTGCTTTTAATGAGATATAGGATGTTGCCGTAAGGCTAAGCCACTTAATTGATATTAAATGCTTATAAATCAATCACAAGATAATTCCATATATATTTTCGAGAGTGACGCGAGAGCTATGAAATCAATTTGAATTCATTCATTAATTTGTAGCTGCCTCGACTCGTTTTAGCTGTTTAGAGACAACGTTTTAGCTGGCGTTTTAGGCATTTTGTGTGATTTGTCAATGCAGAGTAAAGAGTATAATTAATCTGAAATCATTTTGAGGCCAATAATCAATTGTGCATTAGTCATTCGAGCACCTAATCAAATGCCTGTCCTACACTCTAGTCTGACGCAGACCTGTGCCTAAGTGTATGCCTATGCGTGTAATCCCCAACCACGTCGTATTACCACAGCGAACAAAAGCCAATGTCAAAATCTGACAGTGTGAAGCGTTAGCTACACAATAAATTAATAAATTAAACAAAATACACACAGAGAGAAGAAGCAGCAGGTAGAAGAGCTTGTTACGAAAATTCAAATTTATGCCGCGCCTGCATTCACTTTTTATTTATATTTTATCAACACGACGTATTATGTTTTAGACTAAATTAATTTTTTTCAGATAAGCTCAGCTCTTGATTTAAGATTTGCGAAATGCGCTTAGCCCAAATGAATGCAAAACCCTTCGGTTTCACATTACGAGCGGAAGTCGATCGGAGATTGTTTTTAAATATATTTAAACGTAGAGAGGAGACTATATATTTAGACTTTGAAATTGTCGAAGTGGGCATATTGGTTTTAGAGAGAAGTTTGTTGGCTAAGGTGTGTATATATGACTATAATTAACTGTTAGGGGATATAGTGATTTATCAAACAGGCAGAAGAGCTGGGTTGGCTTAAGAACATATATAAGTCGGGTGTATTTTTTATAGTAATACAAGTTTGAATTATAATAAAGTAAACAAATATATTATAAATATCAGTTATTAAAAATCAAATGCTATGACATTTATGTTTCTATATAGTGTTAGCCATGTCGAAATATCTAAAAGAACATATTTTACATAACAAAAAAAAAACATTTTTAATATCCGGGCATCTTCCAGTCAGATACTGCCGTCTAGAGCACTCTTACTAATTTTTGCATATTTATTAAATGTGAAGCAAACGATTTCCCCTTCCAATGCGCCACTTCGCTTTGGGTCATGCCTTTTGGTGCAAATGGCGTGAGAAAGTGTGAAACCAGTTTGCTTAGCTCCGGTTGGACACAGCTGGCAGATCTGAAGTAGCTAGTTGGGCTGAAACTGCATTCGACACTTGCATAAGTTGACCCATTTTATGCTTGGCTTAGTACCAGGCCACGAGCATTTGCTAAGAGCTGCAGCGTGGGATGTATCTACATAGATATTTGTATTTCCTTATCATAATTGGATTACATATAAATTAGTGGGCTGCACATTTATTTACCATAACTGTCCAGCTTAATTAACGAAGTCTTCAAGCTGATAATGATCGTTATGACAACCCATTTCCGTTTAGCCCTAAACTAAACTAAACTGAAACTGAAGCTGAATTGGAAACGAGAGCTTTCAAATTGACAAAGTGATTTACCTTCACTTTTGTGTATCGCAACTGGCTAATGGCTAAATTTAGATTATATGTATATATATATATATATATATATATTTTTTTTTTTTTATATATATATATACACATGTATATTTACGATATGTGCGTATTTGTATCAATTTGGCGCATTTAGAGTTGACAAATTTATTGTGTGTGTCGATATGGCTGCACACAATAACAAAAGAGACCTTGATGTTATCTTTACAGCACGCAAAATACGGAGGCTGCGCCGTCTCTAGCGTCTCAGCTTCCAAATCCGAAACCATTTCCACTTCCATTTGCATTTGCATTTGGCCTTTTACGTTTGCAGCTGGTACAGTCCGCATGGTGGATCGATTGTAATCGATTGTAACCTCGTCGCTATCAACCGATATTTGCATAACAAATGACAAACGCTCGAGTCATTCAACTTCAATGCAAATATTTCCAGAAAATTGCGAAGTTTTCGTTGTTTTTATACCCTGATCCCATTAAAAATGGGAAATCAGGGTATAATGGTTTTGTGCAAATGTATGTAACAGGCAGAAGGAGGCGTGGCAGACCCCATAAAGTATATATATTCTTGATCAGGACGACAAGCCGAGTCGATTGAGCCCTGTCCGTCTGTCTGTCTGTCCGTCTGTCCGTCTGTCCGTCTGTCCGTCTGTCCGTCTGTCCGTATGTGTGAACGCGTGGATCTCAGCATCTATAAGAGCTAGAGACTTGAAATTTTTTTTGTAGGTCCGTGTATAGCACGCGCAGGTCAAGTTTATTTCAAATATTCGATAACTATTCGCATTTAATTGTTATCGAATAAAAACATTATTGAAATGCAGTAAATAAATTATATCTCGAACGTCTTAAGAGCTAGAGCCTCCAAATTTTGTATTTAGTCTTATGTATATTTTATGCAATTTTGATTTTTGTTGGATTTTGGATACCGGCTCCAAATTCCCCCAAATTCTTAGAATTTAAGTTAAGTTGGAACTAGGGCCATTATGTGAAGGCGTTTGCATCTCAACCAAGCCAATAGGATATGTAGATCATATGCTGAAAATTTCATTAAAATCCATTAAGTAAAACAGAAGTTATTAAACAAAACGTTTGGCCAATTTGCAAAAGCACATGTCAGCAGCGCCACGCGCACGCATTTTTCCTATGCGTGTGCACACATACATTCAAATGCGTGAATTCTTTTCTATTCCAAGAATTGAAATTGCGATTGAATTAAAGCTGAATATTAGCTGCTACTTATGTTCAAATTTGCAGCAGATCGAATAAGAAGGACAGCGGCTGCGTTGGTAGAGGCGCCGCTCGCATGCAGCTTGGTCCGGGTTCGAGTCCAGTGGAGATGAAATGTTTTTTATTGTTTTATTTTTAGTTATGAAGTGGCGGTGTTTGTAGTGTTTGTGCACGTTGCGCAAATAATCCGGGTTCGAATCCGGGTCTCGCAAAGTCGATTTTTATTTTTTTTCTTTTTTTTTTTTTAATACTCGATACAAACTACGGAAAATATTACAAAACTCAAAGGACTGGGATCAGGGTATCTCCTAGTCGGGCACCCCGACTAGAGCTTTCTTACTTGTTTCTTATCATTTTATGATTTGTTTAACAGCCTTTGTTTTCGTTTGACTTTTTCAAATTTATTTATTTTTTCTTGCCATAATTAAATTAAATTAATAAAATAATAATATTTGCCATGCAGAGTGTTCTTTTGTTAGTTGGGTTTTTGGACACGCTTTAAAAGAGAAACAATGGATTGTAAAAAGATGTTAAAGTGAGAGAAATATATGCGAATATGCGTAGATATAAAAATATAAATTTGTTATATTTTTTTGCCAACTTTAGTATATTTGATTCTCATATACACACATATATATATACGTAATGTATTAATGTATAATATGTATATATATTGACAAATATATACATCTTATTTTTAGTTTACTTCGAGTCCTTACGAGTATATATATATATATATATATATATATATATATATATATATAATACTCTAAATATAACAGCATGACCTAACAATATTAGTCTTAATATTTCAGCTTAACTTAAATATAATAATTTACCATTTCATGAGGAAAATTAAAAATTCTACAATAGGTTTAACTTGCATTTAATTTTAGTGAAAATAAATTTGTATGCAATAAAGTAGCTTGTTAGTAAAGTTCATTTATTTTTTCATAAAAATTAAAAATTTTGTGATAATATTTATATAGATCAAATACTTGCTTAATATTTTATTTAAATAATAAGTTGATTAATTAATTTCTGATTTTTGACTAGATGAATAATCTAGTCAAAAATTACTGAACAACGTAAGTCCCTTAAAACTTTCTAGCTATATATATGTATCTATATATATAAATATCACTGGGTAGATCATATGATTGACAGCTCTATGCTATGCTCAAACCCAATACAAATTTTTATTTGCCGGAATAACAAAATCTTTAAATCTAAAATAAACTTAAAGTTTACTTAAAATTGTTTTTAAATTTGTAACTCAACTGGGCTGTTGTTAAGTAGTTCCTAGCTCTAATCTTGAAAGTTGTCCTCTTCTCTTACTTTAAAAGTAGCTCTATAAAATTAGACTATATTGAAAGTGCGTTTCATTGATGTAAATCCATGTCAAACTAGGGTAAGGTAAAGGGTTAAGTCAACCAACAACTTTGTTTCGGCCATTGTCAGAGCGAGCTCCACTTGATTTGTTGGTCCAAAACAAAAGACAGTTTTGAGGCATAACAATAAGGCCCAGCTGCCACTTGCCACCCAAACGCCTCAATAGTTGCCTCTCACTCATACACACACTCCATCTCGCTCACCCTCGCTTGCTGTTTGCATATGAAATTTGGACTGTTGCAACTATTTTTTTTATTTTTTTATTGTTATTTTTTTATTATTGTGACTGCCGTTGCTGCTGTTTCATTATTTGTTTCCGATTATAAACTTGTTGGCTCGCTGCATGGCTGAGTATAAAAGGCGTTGTCAGCGCTTGACCCATCATCAGAGCCACTTGACCCACAGCCAGCTAGAGAGCAGCAGAGCCACAGCGAGCGCAACTAACTAAGTACCAAGCAGCAGCATGAAGATATTTGTGGTGCGTGTTTAATGGATTTAACTGGACACAAATAAATATATATATAAATATATATATATATATATAAATATCATGGATTATCAGTGCTCATAGAATACTTCTCTTTCTCCTTTAGACCGTTCTTGTGGCCGCTTTGGCCTTGGCCCGTGCCGACATCAGCCTCACGCAGCAGGGCTACAACTATCGTCAGCAGCAGCCAACTGTCGTGGCGCATTTGCTAAATCAGCAGCTGCAGCAGCAGCAGCAGCAGCAACAGTCGTCATCATCGCACCCCGTGCTGCCACCTCTGTCCGTGCCATTGCCCTATTTGCCACCTGTGGGCCACTACCAACCGCAGTTGCATACCACACAGGCACAGCGCCTGGCTGGTCCCTTACCCATGCCCGTCGGCTTCCCGGTCAACTTCCAGACTGCGCCGCTGCAACAGCATCGTCGATCGCGTCCACGCGCCCGTATTCCCAAGAAGCCAATTGTCACCAAGAACTTCTTCATACACACGGCGCCCGAGGAGTCCGACGATGAGATTCAGGATGAGCTGCAGCAGCTGAACCAACAGCCACGCAATCACTACAATGTGCTCTTTGTGAAGACGCCCGCCCAGACGAATCGCGCTGCTGCCTTGAATCTGGCCAAGAGCCTGAAGCAGGAGAAGACGGTGGTCTATGTGCTGGCCAAGAAGACGACAGCCTCTGACCTGCAGGATGCCATTGCCGACGCACCGCAGCACATCAACAAGCCGGAGGTCTTCTTCATCAAGTACCGCACTCCCGAGGAAGCGCTCAATGCCCAGCGCCAGATTCAGACCCAATACGATGCTCTGGGTGGCAGCTCCACCATCACTGATGAAGGTTTGGCGCCCATTACCTCCGTCGTCGGTTCTCTGGATCCGCCAGAGGAGGAAGAAGAGGAGCAGCAACAGCAGCAGCAGCAGCAGCAGCAGCAGCAACAGCAACAACAGGTCATCGAAACTGGCAGCGCCAACCTTAGTGGACCGATCAACAATCAGTATTTGCCCTCGAACCAGTTCTAAAGTATCTTCATTGCTCACCCACAGCGAATCTTAGTTAGTTCGTCCACATTCCAATTGAAACGCTCGCATTTTTCTGTTGTTTAATTTTATAAGAGAATTTATAGTTGTTTAAGCACATCTTGTAACCAATCCGTATTAAAGGTCTACAATTGTTGAAAAAAAAACCAGCTGAATTTTATTTTTATTTTTTTTTTAATTGCTGTTTTTATTTGCAATCTGTCTTATAGTAGACAATAAACAAATTTGATAACAACAATAGTACGTAACCGGATGGCTTAGGCTCCAGTGAGATCAATCCATATATTTACCTACCTTAAATATTTATATGATTTCAATTTTATGCTTTTTTGATCTCTGAGCAAGCGAAATAATTCATAAAAGTTGAAGTCCTTCTGGCCTTTCACTCTTTTTTCACCTATGAATGTGAATACGTATAATTCTTTCCAGCTGATACCTTAAATTATATATAATATTGATCAAGACAAAGACCATTAAAGACCATCTGTCTGTCCGTATGAACCAAGCAATTTCAAAGCTACAGACTTGAAATTTAAAATGCATATTCCAGTTGACTATAGCTAGTATGCCGTATCAACCCTTTGACTTAATATTGATAACAATCGAACCCAGAATTTCGAGTATTTCTAAGTCGGTCGACCCGACTCACTTTCACTTGATTTAAAGTCGATATTTCATAAAACTATATACTAAATAAGAACTGACCCTTTTAAAATTGGCTTTTAAAAAGTTTGTGGTAAACGTGAGAATATATTGAAGCCTCTGCTGATCTGTGGGTACACGAAATGTATATAAACAAATAAGAAAGCTGTAGTCGGGGTGCCCGACTAAGAGACACCCTGAACTCAGTCCTATCTGCGTATCCATAGCTATTAAAAAAAAAGACAAATAATAACCGACATCAGAATACCTAACTTCGAACCAATATCTCATACACAACGAGCATTAACTCTATCAATTAAATAAATAAATAAGATAATAAGTCATAAATATTCATTTTGTAATACATAAACCTAACAAACATTTGTCAATGTTATTGTTATGTAATATATTCATTTATATGTATAATATACATTTCTATATTCTTGTATTTAAATATTTTTAAATAAATATATATAAATATAAATATAAAAATATATAATATATACATATATATATAATATATAAATATATAAATATTTATAAGTAATTGTTTTCGTAAATATTTAATATTTACATATGTGCAAAACTATGATCTTATAAAATGAAAATTAAGAAAATTAAGAGATTCTCTGCCTATGACACACTTTGCAAACAACTTAACTATATAACAAGCAGCTATATAAAATAAAATACTATTAAATATTATTTATTTTATTAAATATAAGTAAGTTTAGTAACTAACAATTTGAAAGAGAACAAGGGAGCCCGAGTATTTGAATCGTAACTAAATTAGATTATGAAAATGATCATACAAAAATAATATTGCTAATGATCATTACGTTTATGGTAATTGGTAATTGTACCAGTAATCATGAACGTAAATGATCATTATTCCGAATGATTAATATGGCCAATGAACATTGCGACGAACTTTCTTATTATAATAACAATTAGTGTCTATTAATAATAATTAAAACTTAAAAAAATACTAAAAATTAAATATTTTACACAATTAAATATGAAATATTTATTAAACAAATAGACAATGATGAAAAACAAGAAAAACTTAAATATATATATATATTTACACAAAAAAACCTTTAAAATATTTATTTATACAAACACAATATTTATTAAATAAATACAAATTATTTAAACTTAAACAATTTAACAAAAAAAACTTAAATTTATTCACTATTTGCACTGAACCGCTGAGCGACTGACCTAGTCCAAGTCATGAACGTCACTGATCGCCCACAGCCGCTGCTGCGCCTTTTTATACCCAAAAGTCACTCAAAGGCAACTCCAGCAGAGATCTTGAGCTCTTTTTGAGTGAGAATCTACACTCAGCTTGATTTATGTTAGGAACAGAAGGAAAGGCGAACAGACAGAGCTAGTTATATACACAAAAGTTGACATTCTGATCGGAAATATATATGCTATATATATATATATACTTCATATATATGTGAATCAAATGTATTTTTTCTTGCTGCTGTTGAGCACATTTATTACTCTTACTTCTTTTACATGATATAAAAAAGACAAATATATAGAACTATGTAAACAGCTACTGATCTATATATATATATATATTTATATATATATATATATATATATATATATATATATTTTTTTTTTTTTTTTTGTGTGTTATGTTTGGTTTATTATCAACTTTATTAAGAGACTTCCTTGGTCTAATCTAAGATGTCATTTTACAAATGCACTTTATTTTTATATTTCTCTCTCTCTCTATCTCTCTGGGAAGTCCCTTCTTAATGACAATGGGATTTATTTCTCCAAGCTTTTAGCTCCTCGTTACCTGCAGCTGCCGCCGTCTCAAACAGACTGAGATGAGTGCGTATGAAGTCGTGATAGTAGGCAATGCTGGCACTGGCATCCGGCTTGCCTTTGGCGCAGGGCATTCCCCAATTGACAAGCGCCACGAGTTTGCCATTGTGCACCAGCGGCCCACCGGAATCGCCGTGACACGCGCCACGCCCTTTGTCATTGTAGGTGCAGACGTGGCCAATGTCCACGTTGCTGCTGTTGCCATGCGCCTCGCGGCACTCCTCGAAGGGCACATACTCCACCTCGAGGCGTTGCAGTTTGGCGGGCACCTCGCCGCCCAGTGAGAGGGTGCCCCAGCCGGTGAGCAGAAGCCAATCACCTGGCTGCAGTGGTTCATGCTCGAGCTGCACAGGTTGCGTGGCATTGTCAAAGACAATCGATTCGTTCAGATGCAACAGCGCTATATCGTTGCGATACTTGCGGGGCTCGTAGTCGCAGTGCTCAAGAATTGTGTCTACATAGTAGTACCTGGACACGTTATGCTTCAAGTCCTGGGTGCCTGTTAGCACGCGGAATGCTTCGGGCGTTTTGCCATGGATGCAGTGCGCAGCAGTCAAAATCCAGCGTTCTTCAATGATGGCGCCGCCACACGAGTGCTGGCCACTCGTCGCGCTCTGAAGTGAGATCTGATAGGGTGCCATGCCGTCGGGCGCATCCTCGCCGCCCACAATGCGCTCCCTGGTGAACTGTGGTGGATAAAGTATCTGCTCCTCCAGCTGCACACCAGCTACGAGCAGATTGATTGACAACAGCAGCAAAAGCATTCTGAATGTTAGCTTCAACTGCGTCTCGCATGCAACAGGCTGTTGCTTTTATGGCTTCTTGAAGGCAAGCTTTGGTATGTACATCACGTAAGCTCTAGATTTCCCTAAGGGGGTACCTATAAACCAGGTCTATGCTGATACGGTTGTTCACGTTGCGCGCACGATGATAAGCAGACATACAAAAGCATTCCCCAATGGCTACTACTAGCTCTACTTTGATTGTTTCCACTTGAAATTTCTTTGGCTTACTTAATCTATAGATAGGAATTTAAAGAGTGGCGCATAGCTTGCTATTTCGACTGTCAATAGAACCAGCGAAAAGCAAAGGGTTCCGGTTGTGATTGTTGTGTCGTTGTTCGCAGTAGTCACACAACATTTTCATTGTTTCAGCTAATGTCTGAGAGCAAAATTTTCGAAAGTTTTCCAAGCTAAAAAAGAGAAAAGAATTGATTACATCTTTTATACGGAAGGAGTATGTTAGTTCTATGGAGTCATTACCTAGGAGTAATAAGGTACATATCTAGGATTTTTTAGTATTTTTAAGCTTTATTTCTCCAGAGAATCGATAGATATAAACTTGGCTCATCTTTCAGCCTGCATTTTGCATTTGAAGGTTTTTCATGTGTTGAGTCAATTTGCATTATTTACTTCGCTCATGACATGGTTAACAAGCTGGGTGTGGTGGAATTTTCCATTAAAGCAACTCCATAGTAACTTGACTGGACTCGTGCAGCGACTGGACTCGCATTATCATACCGGAAGATTAGCTTGTCAGACTTTTTTCTTGGCATTTGAGTTCTATGCTATCAATTGCTATCGATAACGTTTCTATCTGATAGTTTCGTCAAGCTGAAGCAGTTCATATTATATCACATTGAATTGATTTCATCTAATGCATAACAAATGCTTCTTGTTACATGTTTTGGCAGTTAGAGTGGCAGCATGAACTTAAGCCAAGATTTTCTGGGTGACTCAAAATTCGATGTAGAAAATCTTTGAAATGCTGGCTTTTGACTAACTTTTCGTGCATGCTCGAACTTTTCGCTTAATTTTATGAATCTTATCAACCAAAGAGCTGACTGCCTTTGAGGAGTCTCCATATGTATTCCAAATATTGACAGCTTGACAGCTTAAGCATTACGATTAATTATCAGTGATTCTGGAAAATTAGCTAATTTCTCTTTAATCTCTGTGAAATCTTGATTATTGTTAAGTAATATGAATTAGTTTCAAGAATTATTTATTTTGTGGCACCTCCTGATAAACATTTCATATTGTTTACTAGAAACTTGCCAATGAGCAGTGCCTTGGATGATAACTGCTTAGTGGGCTTATCAGTCAATGATTGCCCAACAGCTGCCGACTTGGCTAAAAATAGACAACGAATTGACTCATTAGACGATCAGCCATGCGCCTTCAATTTCAATTCAATTTTATGACTAAGAAATTCGGCGAGAATTGAAGGGAAATTCCGTAAACTTTTCTCTTTCAACTGTCCAAGAAAACAACTTAATAAAGTGATAAAGAATTAATGGACATCTTTATAGGTTCATAATTTGTTCATAAATATTTTATATTGTTGCGATATATGCGTGATCAAATTTACAGTGTTTGGACTTATGGCCTAAAGTCTAATGGCTATATAAATATATGAATTTTTGTTCGGTTTGGCTTCTATTCGCCTTTTGTTATTGATCGACATGCTTTTTACATATGTCTTCTCCTACTCCTTTTAGTAGCCCTTGTCGAACTGTGTCATCACCTCCTCAATCCAGTTGCGATAATAGGACACCGAGGCATACACATCCGGATAGCCTAGAGCACATGCCTCACCCCAGTTGACCACGCCCACAAGTGTTTGGTTGGCATCGACTAGGGGACCACCTGAATCGCCATGGCAGGATCCTTCGCCCTCCTTGGTGAAGCTGCAGATGTGTCCATCGCCCAACCAGCTGGCATTGCGCACCTTCGCCTTGCAGCTGTCGTGCTCCAAGTAAGCCAGATCGATCTTCTGCAGATGGGTGAGATAACGTCCCCAGGCACGGTTGCTGCCCCAGCCGGTTAAGGTAACCTTGTCGCCCGACTTTAAGCTCTGCTCGCTGGCCAATTTGGCGGGCTGTGTGCGTTCATTGAAGACAATGGGCGTGGCTGTGTGTATGAGTGCAATGTCATTGTGATAGATGGGATTGTCGTGGCCGCTGTGCTTCTTGGCCGCATCCACCAGATGCTCTGCACCGGGCTTTGTGTAGTCATTCGTGCCAGTCACAATCTTCAGATACTGTATGGGCCAGTCCAGGCAATGGGCAGCTGTAAGTATCCAATGCTCTGCAATGATGCTGCCACCACACACATGTTCGCCGAAGGTGTTCATGATGGAGACCTGGTAGGGTGCCCAGCCCTCGGGTGCATCGGTGCCACCCACAATGCGCGCCTCCGGACGCACTACATCTTGATCCAGCTGACGGCTTAGCTTGCGAACCAAACTCACTTGGCGTGCGAGACCACACTGAGCACAGATCAGCAGCGCGCTGATTAGAATTAGAAACTTCATTTTTAATGTATTTGTGTTTGCTTTACGCGACTTTCAACTTCGAATTGTGATGATTTGGTCGCCTGGTTTCCTTTTATAGTCGGCTACCTGTTAGCTTCTTATCACCTGGCAGCTTTCTTTGAATACGCGAATCGTTAAGATAAGAGCTCAGACTCAATTCTTGGTAAGTTCCGAGCCGAATGACATTACCATAGCCAACACGTTGATAAGCCTGAAATTCTCACCAGGTGGAAAAGTACCGCCAATCAGTCAGTTGAGTGACAGCGAATCGATTCGGTAGTCTTAACAACAAATTACTCATACGCCGCGTAGGCGAACTTTGAGCGACGGCTACACGTCTAGCGCGTAATCTTAGGCAGCAAAATCCGGAACTCTCAATTTCACACCAGACAATAAAAAGCAATAATAATATATGCTTATTTTGAATTATTGCTAAAGCATTTGCCACTCGAAGGCAAATCAATCTGCCATAAATACACTGCTAAAACAGATTGTCCCTCGTTGCTATTGCTAATTAACTGCCTAAATTGATTGGTTAAATTTATATTACATATATTAGATACATATATATATGTACTTTATGACAGTTACTGACTATGGTCAACGCATTGTCACATTCTGTCATTCAGTCCAGAGTTCAAGCACTAGACTTAGTGGGTTCATAAAAAATAGATTTTCATAATCATCGTCAGCTTTCTACAAATCAGTGAATAATGAAAATGATTAATGCAATCCAACAAAATTTGATGAAATTTAGTGATGAAACACTGATTTGAAACTGGAATCGAAATTGCTGTCAGGCTTTTTATATATACTGAATCGCACACTTTCCCTTTAACCTACATTATTTCAATAAGTCTCACTTCAACAGGCGATATCTGCTGGGCAAAAAATACAATTTTTTAGAAATTTTATGAAATTTTTTTTGGGAGTATTAAAACTCTAATGCTTAACGGACTTCTTGAAAAAATTTGTATTCATATTACAGCATGTCAAGTCCAACAGAAAAACAATTTTTCTCCAACTAAACTTGAAATCAGCCCTTTCAAACATCTTTGAAAAATTCGAATAACATTTTTTTCTAGTCTAATTTTATATGTGATGTGTTGTTGTTCCAAAAACAAAATATACAAGATTCCAACCATATATTATATATTGTGTTTTGAGTACCCGAAATTTCAGGGCTTATTCTTATTCAAATGCTCTGTCTCTATTATCTTTATAACTCTCAGCCTCCGATGCATTGTGCGCTTCTCTTAGTCTCTCTTTCTAGCTCTCTCTGTTATTGTCTCTCGAATTGTGATCAAATTTCGCTCACGACGCTTTCAGATTGGAGTCCTTTTTCAAACTTTTATTTTAAATAATTAAAGGAATAGAAAAATATTTCCTTAATGCAAAATGAACTATAATCGTAAAATGTAGCCAGTTCAATATAGCTATCACTGCTTCATTGCCTCTTTGTTTTTGAGTCTTATATATATATATATATATATATATAGAGTAGGATATATCCTTCCATCAGTATAGACCTAACATAAACATTTCTGGATTATTTGGACGCTTGTTTTTTAAATTTCAAGCTTTCTCAGCCAAAGTCTCGATTTTCCAATAAAAACAATGGATTCCAAATATAGTTGCAGTATTTGTTACTAACTGTCGCAAAGTCTATCCAAATTTTCTTACAGTGTATTTGAAAAGATCACAAATCAAATTTTAAACATTTCATTGCCTGGTCTTTGTAGTGTAACAAGCCAAAGTGCTAAATTGGTGCAAGGGTCCAATGATTACAGTGATACCATCATCCAGACGTCTGGCCTAGATTAGACGGCATGACTTACGGTAATTTTATAGCACAGCCATTGATTGTGTTCTGAATCCAATCGTTATAGAAGCTGACACGCGCAAAGACATCAGGATAGCCGTGACCACAGGGCACGCCCCAGTTGCCAATGCCGACGAGGCGACCCTTGGCATCGACCAGCGGCCCGCCATGGTCGCCGTGACAGGCGCCGGCACCTACCTTGCCCACAGCGCAGAGATGCCCGATATCCAGGTCGGGTGTTTGGAAATAGGTCGAATTGCAGCGCGCTGTTGGCACATAGGTGAGTTCCAGTTTCTTCAGATTATTGACGTATTCGCCGCTTTGGTCGGCGATGCCCCAGCCCGTCATAATCAGCTTGTCTCCCTCCACCAGATCGTCAACGGCGGCCAGCGTTATGTTCTGCGTGACCTCATCGTAGGCCACCAGCGTTTGCAACTTGATCAAGGCAATATCGTTATGATACAACGGCTGATCGAATTTGCAGTGCAGTATGACATCTTCTACGTAATACTCCCAGGCGGCACCCGCCCAGTCGTTGGTGCTCATCACGACCTTGAAGTTGTTCTTGCGCAAGCCCGCCAGGCAGCTGGCCGCGGTCAGGATATACTGATCGTGTATAATGACACCGCCACACATGTGATTGCTGCAACAAGTGAGAGGGCAATTAAGTGGAATTTGCTTAGGTCAACTTATGTTAGCTTATATTGTCTTATTTAAGTTTAAGTTTAGTTATAAAGGACTAGTTAAAGCTAAGGTTTGTTGTGCTTTCTTGTGATTCAGACTAAATTTCGAATATGTTGGATTATTTGAGCAGAAATTAAGTAATAGGTTAACTTATGTTAAGTCATGTTATCATTCTGTTATGTAACATGTTTTGTTATGTTAAGTGGAGTAGATAATTAGGTTATGTTAGATCGTCAAGATTCAGCTTAAGTTAGTTTGGCTTGTCAGTAAGTTAGGTTTGGTTAAGTTATAGGATATTATTATATTATATATATGTTAATATCTGTATGTAAGATTGTCAAGTATTATATTATAACTGTTCAGATCTCTTTAAAATATTATTTTTTTTATTTTATTATTATTTCTAATTTTTTTTTATTTATATGTTTACTGGAATTCAAACTGAAATATATTAAATTATTTATTTATATTTATTATTTATACATAATTTATATGTACAGAATTGTGATTTGAAACAAAATGTGTGTAGTTAGCTTGCCTTGAAAAATATACCTATATATATTCTTTAATGGTGTCTTATTACGTAACTGCTCTTGAATTTTCAAGTATATATATAATAACTATTTTAGTCTTTAAACTTATATAATACTTTTTAATTTAATTTTATTTATTTTTATTTTAATTTATTTTAATTTGTCTTTATTTTATGTCACAAAATTCACTGCACTTCTTCAATATATTCACTTGTTAAAGTCAATATTTTTTTTGTTATATAACTTATTGAATTTGTATATATTATGAACTTGTAGGTACCCAAGCATATTCTGTACGGAGACCTGATAGGGCGCTGCACCCAAGGCCGCATCTTCGCCGCCAATAATACGAGAGTTGATGTTGGGCGCAGGCATCGATGGGAAAACGCGACGCTGATGTGCTCCTTGCGAGGCAGACAACAACAGCAGCAGCAGGGGGAGTAATACTCCGATTTGGTAAGACATGTTGGTAGCACAGTTGAAAGTGAACTGATCTAAAGGTTGGCCCAATGGCAAGCAGCTAAGCAATGCCTTGGATATTAATGACCCGCCATAAAGTGGGTCTAATATCAATCAGAATAAAACCAAATATTGTACGATATATAAAAATCGCATAACTTTTATTGAGGCAACTAGAAATCAAGAGCTGATAATGGATTTACGATCTAGGCCTCAGTCTGGCCACAGCCTGTCGTGATGGTGCGTATCCAATCGTTGTAGAATGCCACACGGCTGTAGACATCCGGATAGCCGCGGCCGCAGGGCACGCCCCAATTGCCAATGCCGACCAGCTGCTGCTGGGCATTGATCAGTGGTCCACCGGCATCGCCATGGCAGACACCCTTGCCCGCCTCCATCTGGACGCACACATGGCCGAGGTCCACGTCATCGTCGTTTTGCAGCACTTTCCGGCACTCGGTCACGGGCAAGTAGTCACCCTGCGATTGCAGCAAATACTGCGAATTGCTGCCATCTACCGAATCTGTGCCCCAGCCCGCAAAGCTCAGCGGCTCGCCCTGCTGCAGTTCATCGATCTCCGAGAGCGTTACCTTGGCCACTTCCGCGTTGTACTCGATTGCACCACTCAAATGCAGCAGCGCAATATCGTTGTGATAAAGCGGCTTATCGAAGTTGCAGTGTATGTGTATCTGATCGACGTAGTAACCTGCCGCCGAGTTATTCCAGGAGCTCACGGTGCCAGCTAAAGCTATTAGGTTGCGTGCACGCAAGCCGGCCACACAGCTGGCGGCGGTCAAGATCCAAAGGTCGTCGATGATGACACCGCTGCAAAAGGGAAAACCGAACTGATTCTGCAACGAGACGATCCAGGGCCAAGCGCCCAGCTCCGCCTGCTGACCACCCGCAATGCGGCCCTGAATAGGTTTAGGATTGGAGCGCAGATGCGTGCCCTCAGCTGCTTCGCCTGGCAGCAGCTGCTGCCCACGCTGGCGCAGCCCCTCCGCGCCGAGACAGAGACAGAGGCAGAGATAGAGACTGAAGAGCCACGCTGATCTCGAAACTGATGCCATTGTAGTGAAGTCTTGAATTGAAACTAAAATTCATTCACGATCAGCACTGGAATTACACATCGGGCATGACTTATCGCCGGGCTATAACTTTTTATGGGCAATGGCGGAACGATAAGTTCTGCCAACTCATCACGCCCGCTGCAGGCGGTCACTCGGGCCATTCCAAATAGCCCAGTTTATAGACCCTCCAATCGAGCGCATTTACCGTGTGGGTTTTATCCTGCTCATCGTAAAGATATGCAAACTGATATGGACTTTATTTACATTCATAAAGATTTGACCAATTTGTTGCTTAAGCCACGCATTCTGCGATAGCCGCTGTGCCAAAACTTTCCAGCTACACTGAGAGAAAAGCAAGAACAAGCTACAAATTTGTGTCAGCTGTAAAGTTCGTGTTAGATACATATAGAATATAGAATATATTTTAGACTTTTGGGAGTATACCCTATAATATATCTATATAATATACAAGCAAGAGAACGACTTGAACCGGAAGCTAGATATAAAATATAAGATTAATTTACTAAGGGTTATCCCAGAGAGTTGCTTGAAGCTCTAATTAAAGCATTTCAAATTAAGCTTTGAATTCTCATAAACATATGAAATTTACCTTGTGCTAGATGTAAATACATAAGAAATAAGAGTGACTTAGTTATAAAAATGGAGCGAAAAAATCCCTAAAAGATTCGACTTTTCAAACTTAAAATAAAGTTCAATTTAAGAAATTCAAAGAAAAATCCCTCTTTTTTTTCAAGTGTATCGAGTCCATATAAAAGCTTCGACTAAATACATTTAGTTTTTCATTACTGGTCATTAATTGCAGTTCACACGTAGACTACGTCGTAGATCACCATGTCCGCACTATACGCGTCTTGGCTGTGCCTTTGTCTGCTGCTGGGCAGTTCCATTGACGTCAGCTGGGCCAAGCGTATCCATCATAAATATCCACAGACATATGGCAATCGCATTGTTGGCGGCCACGAGGCGGAGGAGGGGGCAGCGCCTTATCAGGTCTCGATACAAACGAGTTGGAAAAGCAATATCTGTGGCGGAGTGATCATCGATGAGCGCTGGATCCTCACGGCTGGCCATTGCGCCAACGATTTTCCCATCGATGAGCTACGCATTGTTGTCGGAACCAATGACCGACTGGTGCCCGGACAGCTGCACTATGTGGACGAGGCACTCGTGCATTGCCTGTACGATATTCCAGCCATATATGCGAATGACATTGGACTGCTCCATCTGAACAAGTCGATTGTGTTCAACGAGCGTACACAAATTGCCGAGCTAAGCACAGAGTATCCGCCGGCTGGTGCTACTGTTACGCTCACCGGCTGGGGTGCACCGGAGCTCAATTTTCCAGCCATGGAGCGATTGCAGACCATCAATCTGACTGTTATCGATCAGAAGGTCTGCCGTGCTGCCTGGGATGGTACGGATAGCGTCGACATTGGCCATCTGTGCACCTTCACGAGGGAGGGCGAAGGCGCCTGCAACGGCGACTCCGGCGGACCCATCATGTGGCAGGGCAAGCTGGTGGGCGTGGTCAACTGGGGTGCCCCATGTGCCGTGGGCAAGCCGGACATGCATGCAAACACGATCTACTACGCAGACTGGATACGTCGCAGCATGACCCAATGCAAGCAGCGCGTCAATTGAGACGCCTCACATAACAATATCGATCTATATATATATATATTTGGCTAACCTATATAATTGCACAATAATTGTTTTAATTGCATTTTCGGACAGTGTAAAGTTCATTTCAGAAAAAATTGGATATTTCCTTGTGTTTTACGACTTTGTTTTCATTGAACACTTTTTGCCGCTTTGCCTTCATAAATGTTATTAATTAATATCTACTTAGCTATTGGGGCTAGTTTAATTTTTATGAAGTACTTGGCCTCTGACTTGGAAAATACTTTATCTTTATGTGAACTTGATATGCAGACCAGTTTTGCCGATCGTTAAGACTCAAGTAGGAAATATTATTTCATTATTAAGAGATTGTTTTAGAATAATTAAAAATATCTTATATATTACATTAATGCATTGCTAAAATTTGTAGACATTTCTAAGAATTGTAGTACAAAATTTCCCTAAATGTATTTAATGTTTATATATGAATAAAATATATTTTCTCTGAAAGGTGATTTAATATTATATTTTTATTTTTATTTATCTTTTATTTACTATTTTTTTTTAATATTAATTATTTAATTATATTTTCCATAATGTTTTAAACTTTAAATAGTTATGGCCTATGTTTCTGTGATGATATATCTCATCTCTTTCTTCTTCTTCTGATCTAAACTGTTTCGGATTTCCCTACGGTTCAGGGAGTGTAGAGCTCTCAGTCTTCATCATTTTTGTTCGTCGTTGAGTTAGTTTGGATGATCTATAATGTAAGTAAAACCGTGTACCTGGAGCTAGATCTTCATGTAGAACAAAGTTTATCCAGCACCAGGCCATCTGTCATAATTTTATTTTTTTTTGCTCGCAACCTAGAGTCCCGTAAAGGTGTTCCATATAAAAGATTGAGCTTTTATTATTATCTTAAATATTAAATTTTGAATTGTAATAAATATTATTAATATAAAATCTAGTTACAACTATCGACTAAGATTTTTAAATACTAAGAGCTACAGCAAATATATATAAAACTCAAGCTAAAATTCTTTTTATTTAGAAAAGACAAATGATCTACCAAGGATTTTCGATTTAACATATAGCTATGCCTAAATGTATATTACTACTATTAACATCAGAACACAGTTTTAAAGACTAGAAATCTTATGAAAGTTATAATCTGTTCAGTATATACAAAGTTGGTTGAGGCAACTCCTCCAGGACTAGTCTCGCCTTTTCTTCCCTTTTGTAAATATTTAGCTTCGCTAAGATGTCCCTCTTTTACCTCAACGCATAGGGCCACGCCCAAAAGTATGCTAAACACAAATTTCAGCTTCAATATCTAAGTTTTGCGCAAAATTTGAAAAAGAAATTTCAAACTTTTGAGTCCAGTTGTCTTAGGGTATTTGTGGGTCTTCATGCTGGAAGCTATGTGGTGCTCTTTCAAGTCGAGTCATCAAGTTAGTGTCCGACAGCGATATTAATTGCCGTCGTAATCAGAACACGTCTATATCATTTTATGGGCTAGATATCGAGTGGGACAGTGGGACAACATCCAGGCCGATTTATGATCAGCTCACAAGCAAGCAGAGTATAAAAGCGAAATCACGACGCGGAGGCGCGTTTAATACGCGTTCTCAGATTGAGCTGTCAGAATGTGGAAAGATTTTGGAATAGTTGTAGTAGTAGTGCTATGCCTGCTCAGCTGGAGCATTCCGGCTGAGGGTAAACGAATGCCGGAGCTGACTGCCGAGCAGCTGAACAAATTGTCCCGGCGCGACTTTGACCCACGTGTAGTAGGCGGCAGCGATGCGAAGCTGGGCCAGGCGCCCTATCAGATCTCGCTGCAGGGCATGTATGGCGATCATATGTGCGGAGGCGCCATCATCGATGAATACCACGTCCTCACGGCTGCCCATTGTGTCTATGGCTACAATCCAACCTATCTGCGCGTTGCAACTGGCTCAATACTCTGGGACAAGCCTGATGCCAAGTACTTCGTGGAGGAGCATTGGGTGCATTGCAATTACAATGCGCCCGACTATCACAACGATATTGCGATGATACGGCTCAACGATTCGATCAAGTGGAATGAGTACACTCAGCCTGCCACGTTGCCAGATGCGCCGCTGGCCAATGGATCGCAGCTTCTGCTGACGGGATGGGGCTCCACGGTATTTGGCAGCGACACGCCCGATGTGCTGCAGCAGGCAGTACTCACGTATGTGGACTATGACTCGTGTCAGGAGATCATGGGCGGGGATGTATTTAATGGACCCGGGCACATATGCACGCTGACTGATCAGGGTCAGGGCGCATGCCATGGCGACTCGGGTGGTCCAGTTGCCTGGGATGGCATACTCTATGGCCTGGTCAACTGGGGACACCCCTGCGCCATTGGCTATCCGGACAGCTATGCGTCGGCCTATTACTATCGCGACTGGATACGACGCACAAAGGCGTCATCGTCCTGCAAGGATTGTCACTGCTATGCGAGCAACTACGGCGTATGATTGAAATAAAAGAAAAGCGAATCCATTTCCATTCAAACAATAATTAAATCTTTATTTCATCTCAAGCTCATGTGGTGCACTTGGCATTGCCGCTGATCACATTGCGAACCCAGTCCAAGTAGTAGTATACATTGGCCTGCACATCCGGAAAGCCTTTGGCGCAGGGTCTGCCCCAATTGACCACACCCACCAGGTAGCCGTTGCTCACCAGCGGTCCACCTGAGTCACCGTGGCAGCTGCCCTCGCCCTCCTTGGAGAAGGTGCATATGTGACCCACGCCCATGCTGCTCGTTTGATTGAATATGGCCAGGCACTCGTCCAGCTTGACAAAGCCAAATGAAATCTTTTGCAGATTCTCATTGGCATTGCCGTTGGGTACCTCAGACCCCCAGCCGGTGAGCACAATCTCAGCGCCCTCACGCACCGGCCCCACGGGCAGCGCTATGGGCTGGGTCAGCTCGTCGAAGGTGATGTTTTTGCTAACCTTCACTAGGGCTATATCATTGTGCATATAGGGCTTGTCGTACATGCAATGGACGTGCACCTCCTCCGCGTAGTAGACGCCGCCGGGTTCTGCATAGCGGTTCGTGCCTGTGACCACAACAATAAACTCGGGCGGGAAGGTGACGACGCAGTGACCAGCCGTAATGATCCACTGCTCGTTGAGTATGGCGCCGCCGCAGTTGTGATAGCCCAGAACGGGCTGCAGGGAGACCTGATACTTGGCGTAGCCAATCTCTGCCGCCTGGCCACCCACAATGCGCCCCTCGATAGACGCTCTGCCAGCTACATCCATTTCCAACAGCCGCTTGGCCTTGGAGTGCTGCTGCAGCAGCGCAAGGATCAGGCAAATGTGAAGCAATTTCATCTTTTCCGTAGGAATAGCCAACACAGACTAAAATGCAAAAATTTTGTAAGAGTTTTATCGAAGCTTTATTTGCCCGACTTTTTATCAGGCCAACTTTATGAATGCCTTCGACAGTTTATGGTTGCCATAGCTGGGTCTAGCGATAGCCAGACCATTGCATACTCATAACGTACTTGGGTTTTTCTTGCTGACCAAGTCCAGTTCTTATAAGGTTCATTTCCGTGCTTTATCAACTAATACAAAACTAGATTTATTGGGAGCAAATTAACTAGGCAGGATGATAAAACTTTTTAGCGTGGTATCTAGTGATAAATTTTAATATATCTAGTGATAAATTCTATAATAATTGGTATGATTTACTATGCTATAGCTTTGGCTCTCGGATCTGCTATCAGGCAATTGGTTTACGGAAACTTTTCAACTTCAACTTTTAAAAGTTAAAATCATATCGAGCGCTCTGCTATGCATCTTGGCTGTCTTTAAGTCTATGAGTTCTGGGTTTTTGTTATTTATTTAACTAACGACATACAAACTATCACAGATCTCCTTATCACATATTCTACTATATGGAAGCGTAGTACAACTTCCACATTGGAGACTCTAGTTTTCTGTTGTATATTTTTTCTAGTTTTCTGTTGTATGACATTGCATCAGAAGCGTTATTTAAAGTTGCCCAGGTATCAAGTGGATATTTGATTAAGATTTATATATATTTTTTATTCTTTTATAGTTGAAAGATTTAGTTATAAATTAAAAGGCAAGTACTACGCTTTGATATTACAACTGGTGTGTTTATCACAATCCAGAAATTGTGGAGTTCTGCATCTCTTTTTAATCGAGTTCACTTGTTTTGTATAAACTTTGCATTGCTTACGAGGTGAGTTCAAAAAGTATTTCGGGGTTCTTTAATTTTTTAAAAATATTATATTAAATATTTTAAAAATATTAATATATTTATTTTCTTCAATTTACACATGTGGCTACGTTCCTTTAGATTCTCAAAGCACTTCAAAATATATTTTTTGTAATCTTCAGCTTCTCCTTCGATGCCTTCTTTATCGCCTCAATCGTCGTCCTTTGGCCAAATTTATAATCATGGACATCATAAAATAAATCAAGAGTGCAACACATGAAACTCACGGAAATCCAAGTTCACGATACTTCTCGAACATACCTCGTAGAAATATAATCAAATACCTAAATTTTATCAATATTGTTAACTTTTTTATCTTAGTATTTTATAGAGTATTGCTTGACCGTTAATTGATGTAGTCATAAATCAGTTTATTGTCGATATCTAAAACACTTATGTTCCGATTGGCTGCAAAGGCAATCCACCTTATCGCAGGGTAACAAATCGTTCAGTCTGCTCTTGGCTGTCAACTATGACACAGTACAAGCTCTGTCTACTGCCGTTCATGCTGCTGCTGTTGCTGCTGCCACGCCCCGTTGAGTTGATTGTGGGCGGCCAGAATGCTGCGGTAGGCGATGCGCCCTATCAGATCTCGTTGCAAACGCTAACTGGCAGCCATCTCTGTGGCGGAGCGATAATCTCAGCCAGTTGGATACTCACGGCGGGGCATTGTGTGAGTGGTTGGCCAGCGGATCGACTGCGCGTGGCCATGGGCACCACACGCTACACTGAGCCGGGCGCCGTGCACTATCCCGCTGCCATCTATCTGCACTGCAGCTACGATCGGCCCAAGTATCACAATGACATTGCGCTGCTTCAGCTAAATGCGAGCATTGCCTTTGATGCACTCACTCAGGCTGTGCAGCTGGTGAATGGCTCCTGGCCCACTGGTAACTCAGAGCTACTCTTTACCGGCTGGGGCACGCAGTCGGCGGGCGGTGCCACGCCCACGCTGCTGCAGCGCGTGCAACAGCAGCACATTACGAGGCAGGAGTGTGAGGCGCTGCTCGATAGCTACGAAGATGTTCAGCTGGGAGCGTGTCATGTGTGCGCCTATCGACAACGGAATATTGGTGCCTGCCACGGCGACACAGGTGGTCCGCTGGTCTACAAGGATCAGCTAGTTGGCATACTCAACTTCATGGTGCCCTGTGCACAGGGTGTGCCCGACGTATTCATGGATTTGCGCTACTACAGCGAATGGATACGGCGCACTGTATCAGGCAATGGCAGATGTGCAGGGCTGCAACAGCAGACTATTAATTGAGCTATTAATTGAGCTCCAAGACTTATACAATTTAAATTAGTTTAATTTATTAAAAAAATATGTTTATTTTTGTACTCTGCGATACGCGAAGGATTTTTTCCATTATCAAGTGATTCTTAGCGCTGATAACTGTCTATGTAAATGTGAAATTTTATGCTCATATATTAAATTGTATATATGCGCTGATTCAAAAACATATACTTAATTAATAAACCAATACTTATGTCTATATACATATATATATATACAAGTATAATTTATATAGGTAAATATATACATAAAAACAAGTAAAAAACTAGCAATGGGTATTACGATTATGGGTGATAATGATTCTATCATACACCTATATAGTTCAAGCAATCACAATTCGGTCACTCTAAGTTCCAAGATTATTGAAGAAATATGAGTTTTTAAGGGCAGCTATAAGTGATCGAAAAAAAGTTTGAGTTAATCTTTTGAAGTGACAAAAAGGCCTATCAATTTGCTGATAAACATTTACTCCACTTAAACAATGAAACCTAATCCGAGCCAAAGCCCAAGGCCCACATGGAATGACTTGAAAGTTAAAACAAGAACTCCTTGCCATAGACATGCTTATTAACAACATCGTCACCCGCCGCCTAAGAAGATCTATACATCGTTACAACTCAGCTCCCAAACGACTTTAACTAACTAACTGCCTTTCGTCATTCAGAAAATACAATTTAAATGCTATTATTATGTAATTATAATTTGCAGATTGTTTTATCGGTTCTATCAGATTGCGAATACAAAAAAATTCTGTAGACAACCTCTTTATAACTGTGTCTAGGTTATAGACATTTACTAGTGGGCGTAGCTTAAAATTATTACGATGGAAATAAAACATTAATAGCACCGCTAGGAGAGTTTTTTTATTTTATTCATATAAATTCAATTTAATTAAAAAAAAACGAATACTATTATTTTTACTGCTTAGTATTCCTGCAAAACAAAAAATATAGTAAATTTAAAATTGAGCAAAAATTATTATTATTTATAAATATACATATATAAATATTGGAAGACTCTACAAAACTTTTCAAAAATTATGTTGAATTTCCGTGGATTACAAAAAAAAATTTTTTTCTTTCTACGCAGGTTTATATTTATGTTTATATATATATATATATATATACATGTATATAAATATATATATAAACATAACTATTATTATATATATTATTAGTTAATACATTCCTTATCGAATTGTAAACGCGTACAACAACCGGAAGAAAGACTCTAATCGGTATAATTGTGGTAAACAAACGTAACAGAAAGTACCTTAAGGTGAGCCTTTGATTCGCACTGTTTGCCAAATCAAAGATATTTCACTTAAATGCTTCAGGTAGAATAAAAACAAAGAAACTTTTGGTATCTTCCAATTGATAAGATTACTTGCAAATGTTTTAAAAATAAATAAATTATACTAAATACTGTTATGGTTACTGCACAGACAGCTGCTAGAGCTTGGATCTTATTTAAAAATAATGCCGTCAGTTAAGCATGATTCAGTGAAGTTTTTCCCACTTATCGTAGCCCAATACCAAATTTCTTTGAAGCAAAAAATAAAAGTTCACATATTGATAATACATAAGAAGCTGACATAAAAAAATATGACAAATTTTTGTTTGCGAAAACTTTGTTTGAGTTTTAGTCACGCCTTTTATCTTTATATACGAGTCGCTCAATTGTTTTTTTGTTTTTTTTTTAATTGATATTGTGGCTGATAAGCAATGAGATAGGAGGTAGGGAGTGGCCAGAAAATACCCTTTGATGTAAGACTTCTATATATATATTTGTATGTGAACTCGGGCTTAACTTAATAGAGGCTGCAGGTTCAAACCATAAACTGATTCTTCGAATATTGAATTAAATTTTTAAAACTATGTTCTGCTTACTTTCTAAAAGAATGACTTAGATAGCGATAAGTTATTGATATTCCTGTCAGACATAAATTTAAGGAGCACAAACAATCTCAAGTCTGTTATACCCCATTAGAGATTTTAATTAGTTACAGGGTACACATCAATTTGTTGTATTCATTAAAACATGGGCGTTAGCAGGCGCAACCTGTTCAGTCGATCAGAAATTGTCACGGTGAAAGCATTAAATCGGCAAAAAAGTTACCAAACGATTGCGAAACATAACAAATAAACTGAAACTTGAAGCTTATCAAGCATTCGACAGCATACAAAGAAAAGTTCAATATGCAGGCGGAACATAATCTAGGCGAGCACGCCCAATGGAAGCAAATCCAGGAGAATACCTTCACTCGCTGGGCCAACGAGCACTTGAAGACCGTTGGCAGCTCCATCGACAGTCTGGAAACGGATCTGTCGGATGGGCTGCGTCTGATTCAGCTCGTCGAGGTGCTCTCCCAAAAGCAGTTGCCCTCACATAGCCAACACCCAACATTCCGCAGCCAGAAAATGGACAACGTATCGATTGCGCTCACCTTTCTCATGAACGAGGGCATCAAGATTGTTAACATAGGTAAGTGGACTGGGATTAAGCCATACGATGTACTCCTACTCAATTGTAACTATTGCAGACTCTACGGATATAGTCGATGGCAGAGTGAAGCTGATAATGGGTCTCATTTGGACGCTCATTCTGCACTACTCCATCTCGATGCCCGTGTGGGAAGGCGATGAGGAGAAGCCACCGGCAGAAACAACTCAAACGCCCAAACAACGGTCGGTATTTCCTACCTTCTTTTAGCATATTTTTCATCTAATCTTGGGCTCTGCAGTCTGCTGGGCTGGATCCAATTCAAGATACCCTACATGTCCATCAACAACTTCACCAAGGACTGGACCACGGGCAAGCCAATGGGCGCTCTGGTTGATGCCTGTGCGCCCGGCTTGTGTCCCGACTGGGAGTTGTGGCATCCCGAGAACTCGGTGCAGAACGCTACTGAGGCTATGGAGCTCGCTGATGCATGGTTGGATGTGCATCAGCTGATCAAGCCCGAGGAACTGGTCGATCCCAATGTGGATGAGCAGTCCGTAATGACATACCTGGCGCAGTATCCCAACTGCAAGCTCAAGGATGGCGCACCACTGCGACCCAAAACTGATCCCAACAGGTGAGTGTTGATTAGATTCATTTATACATGAGAATATATGCATATATGGATAGTGCTTACTTGGAGTATAAATCCCTAAAAGTATGCAAAACTATTCATAGTTTAAAGTCTACTTTTAGCCCTATTTATAATGTTGAAATTAAACGTGATCTTTCTAGCATTCCCATTGTTGTGCCCATTACGCCTGTGCCTGTGCCTGTGCCTATGCCTGTGCCTGTGCCTGATCCTGTCATCGAGCCCATTGCTCCCATAGTTGTTTATCCAATTGTTGAGAGTGTGCCCGCTGAGGTTTATCCTGGCACTGAATCTTTTCCGGCTGAGGTATATCCGGGCATTGAAAGCACACCCGCCGAGGTGCATCCTGGCTATGAGAGTGTTCCCGCTGAGATACATCCTGGTGATTGCGTCTATCAAGCTCAAACTTATCCTGGCACCAGACCCAATGGCCCCATGGTTGGCGAATTAGCAATCGTGCTTATTGATGCGTTTGACAATACAGATCGTAAGTTCCATCAAATATCTTAAGTCGTTAAGTAAACTCTTTTCTATGCCCATCTTCCATATAGCAAGCTACAGGACTGAAATTGGCCAGCTATACGAGGGCGCCAGCTACTTGTTTACGGGCAGAATCCTGCCAAATGCTGAAAGGTACAATCGCACTTACAACTCTCAAGTCACTTAATATTAAAAAGTTGCCAATTCTTAGCTTCTCCGTCAACTTTGTGCTGGACAATAATGATGTGGCTCTGCACATCAATCCCCGCTTCAGGACTCAAACTGTTGTACGAAACAGCAAGGTGCGCGGCTCATGGGCTCGCGAGGAGCTGCACTCGACACTGCCATTCCTCTTCCAGAGAGGCGAGAGCTTCGCCATTCAGGTGCTCATCACACAGCACTCTTACCTGATGTCCTTCAATGGCCATCACATGGAGCCGTTTGATCATCGACTTTCTTATGATAAAGTTCGTTATCTTCAAGTGAAAGGTAATGCGGATGACATACGCATACATCGCTCTGAGATCCGCAGCTATCCGAATCGTTATCTAGATTTGTTGGTACGTATTCAATATATTAATTTTATTTATTATAGATTAAAGTTGTCAGTGAGAATTTAGTATGAGACAAACCTTATTACATATCAGAGAATAAAAATTACGTGATCTCTCTCAATACTGAGCATATTCACTTTCAAAGAATGTTCCTCTGGCATTCTGACTGTCTGAAGAAATTCCCAGCAGTCCATTTAGCCATATGACAAAGGCCTTTGTGACCGTAGCTACTTCTCTAGAATTAAAACAATGTCAATCTTTAATATATATAGAGTATAACATTTTCGCTGCCTAAAGCCTAACAGAACATAAAAATCCATTGAAATTATTTTCAGTCTCTCTGACATAGAATTATTGTCTTATCTTTGTATATATTTAGCATTTGCTCTCTTATCTTAATCATAATCTAATAAAAAATCTCTATTTACCCCACTTTAGCCTGCACCTACCGTACAGTTTGAGCCGCACTTTGTCGAGGCCGAGGTTGAGCCACTCAACGAGGGAGACAGTTTTCTGTTCAGTGGTAAAATTGATAGGAAATGTGAAGAGTAAGTTTAATAAGTTTGAATCGCACACAAAGTTTGCTTTATAATCAAACATCATCCATAGATTCGAGATATCCTTTCTGTTTGCGAATGATACAAGGGATATTCCCTTGCACATGAAGTCTCGATTCAAGAAGAATCATTTCCTACGCAATAGCAGACTGTGCAATGAGTGGAACCGTGAAGAGATTTCCACGCCAAACCCATTCCGAAAAGGCGAACGTTTTACCATTCAGGTGCTCGTCACAATTGACTTTTATGTAATAGCTATAAATGGACGGCACTATACAAAGTTCTGCCATCGCTTACCCTTCCAAGGCGTTGGCCTAATCACTGTTAAAGGCGGCGTTTTCGATGTCCAAATGCATCGCTGCGCGGTGCTGGACTACCCTCAATCTACATTGCAAAAGCAAATTTTGTAAAGACTTTAGTATTTGCCATATATATGAGACTATTTCTGTAAACAGTTGACTTTTTTACATTTTTATTAAAATATTACGAGGTAAATTAAATTAAATATTAAATTATTTGAAATTGAATTTATGACTTGTGTTTTTTCTAAGCTTTGCACCAATTTTGCTCCACAATTGATTGAAATTAATTTTTAAACAAAATAAAATTTCGAAGATGAGGAAAATTTAAAAAAATTATTTACTAATTCTGCTACCATTTTTTTTTGAGCTACATCATTTTAAGATGAATATTCTGCTTTCATTTGTTTGCCGAAAAATACCTAAACTCCATTGCCATGGCCCTCTACCCTATATGAGAAACTTACAAACCGCAATTCGATCTGGAAGTTAGGGTATTTCCAAGTCTAGCATATATCAAAGTATATCCCAATGCATGAATCACATGTTAAGCAATTTGTTTCACAGAGATGAAAATAAGTTTCGACTCGATTGGACAAACTGAAGAAGAACAAACAATTTTCCCAATATTTTCTAGTCAAGAGCCAAATCCATGCATATTTGCTTTAAGTTCTGCCTTCGTATCGAATATCGATTTGATTGGATTCAACAGGAAATTAGCTGAGAAAAAAGAGTTGTGCGTCAGCGAACAAATGTTATTTGGATTTTGATTTACGAGTTTGTCAGTGTCAAATAAGTTTGTCTGCTGCGTATGCGCGCCTAAAAGACACGTGTCGCTGCTCTAATTAAGGACAGGTAGACCCAAACACACAGTTAGTCATGTTCGAAAGACGTGAAATGCTCGAGGCGGGTGCTGTCAAGAATTGCTCAAAAATATATGGAAATACTGAAAATAATTATATGTATAGACGAATATATAATTTTCGAAATAATTTTTTGCTAGACGCTCTCAAATGCTCAGTTATATATATTTATATATATGTATATAAATATATATATGGCATGGTAATGGCTGAGAATTTTCGAAAAACAGAATTTTCAGTTGCTGCATTGACTTCGAAGTGTGCGGAGCATTTGCGTGCCGTGGCTAACGTCTAACAGGGACTACGCGGCGTATACGCAATCGAACGATTCAAGTGCCAAAACAAAAACGTGTAGCTATATATACATATGCGTGCATATATATACGCATATATAAGCGATATACTATATGTAAGCGCGTGTGGTGGACATATAGCGCCCAATAATTACTCAATTAGTGCATAACGAGACGAGATCGAGTGAAAAAATGTCAAAGTATGTGCAGAGATGTTTGCCTTTTGAAGGCAACAAATAGTCGTAATATGAACATATATACCTAAATATATATGTATTTACGTACGTGTTCAAAACTGTGTGCAAGCAAATGAATATATGTATAAATATATGTATACATCTAGTCTAGATGATTCAATTTCTGAGCATTTATTTTCGATTTTGCAAAATTGTTGCCATTTTTTTTGCTGGGTTTTTGATATTTTTGACAGGCGCCTCTCGAGTGCGCGCTGGAGTCCCCAGTCTGGCCAGATGTAGCGCCAGATGCTCTGGTCTAACAATGTAGTTGGTTCTTTATTTAGATACAGTTGCACGCCTCAGCGCACCTGAGAAGATTTATAAACCATTTCCGAAATGAACTCTAAAGAATTTTGAAATATTGCGAGCAATTTTTATGTTTCGCAATTGTTTTTATGGACATGAAATGGGCTTTATTTTTGGCCGCGTCGAAAGGCAAAATAGCGAGTGAATATATATGTGTGTGTGCGTATGAGAGAGTGAACGACAGAAAGAGAGAGAGAGAGACACTTTTAGCCAATTGTATGCACGTGAATAATTGGAAGACGCCAACGCGGCGTATGCGTAACATTAAATTATAAACAGCTGCTGACAAGCCATAAAATTTTGGCAGCAACAAAAATGAAACTATAACTAATATAAATTATATGGAAATTATTTTATTTTCAAAGTCGTTTCCTGGCAAACATAAATGTGAAGAATTTTGTCTTAATTTGAATACAAATTCTGATATTTGAAGGCGTGTAAAAAGCATTTGAAATGGGTAGTAAAAGGTATAAAACTTTCAGGCAAACTATCATAAGATCTCAATATAAGTTAATCAATTACTGGCTGTTAAGATTCGACTTAAAACTAGTCAAAGTTCAGCGAACGCGTTAAACTATCGGATTAAGTCATCTGATCAACTGATTGATCTCAAATGAAAATTCAAAGCAGCGTCAATCCAATATTACTTAAAGACTGAAGACTGAAGACAACAAGACATTTCGTTATCAGCCTTATATTATGTGTATATACAATTTTTTAATTTTTTAATATAAAACGGAAAATTGAGCTAAGTCTGTCCATCTGTCTGGCTCCGGTGTTCATCTGTCTTTCTGTTTACCTCATAAGGAATAAGGACTCTGAAATTAGTTATAAATCATTTTGAATATAGTACCTTTTTCAAATTTGATAAATATTGATATTTCATTTGATAAGGAATATTTTCTATGTCGGCAACTTCCATACAGAATTTCGAATATAAAGAAAAAATTATTCTAACAAATTTTAGTGGCATTTTATGTTTAAAAATGTTGATTCAAAGTGGGGAACTGTATGAAGATTAAGTGTAAACGTGGCATATGGTCTCGTCGTGACAGACAAGTAGACAAGGCCTTTAAAATTTCGAAGTTTACTAAAAATAAAACAAAACAATAAACAAAAAAAATTCTTTAAGCAAACACTAAAGTATTAACGACTTTTGCAATAGTTTTCTTGTAATTCAATAGTAAAATGGATAACTTTACCCATTTTTTCACTTTTTTATAGAATTTTGCAAGAATCTCATACATAATTTGCATTTATTTTGGCTCAGCTAAATAGATATAAATGAATGTACATGTGTGTAGTTGTTTTTGTGTATGTATATGTATATTCCTCAAGTCTTTCTAACTGAAAAAACAATCGAAATTATTGCAAACGAAAAGACACAATTCAGTTGACCAGGAACGCGGTCTATTTCATCTTTAATTTAATATAAATAACATAAATTTTCGCAGATTTTGCGAAAAGTTTTTTGAACCCCGCAAAACAGCAAAATGCGAATAAAATCAAAGAGTTTATGTTATAAGCTGATTTGGTCATGTGAATTAGTCATACGACATGCCGCAAACAACATGCAACACCAGCATCATTTCTTTTCTCTCATTTCATATTTTTTTATGAAGTCTGGCCAACTATTATAATATATTTATGTTATTTATACGAAAAACATATATTTTTTGGTGGACTTTTCAAGCGCAAATTATGAGTCACGAGTAGAGGGGAATGTCTGCCTAGGGAGGGGTCTGGTGGCAAATGACAATACGCCTGCAATTGGCAACAAATCAAGCATGCCTAACAACAATAACAACAACAACTACAACAATTGCATCTATTTATAAAAGAACAACAAAATCAGCTGCGCGCAAAAATCATCCAAAGTTTTTTTTGTTGTTGGGGAATATCGCCAAAAGTTGCTGCTGCTGCTGTCGCTGCTTTCGCTGCGAACTGCTGTTGAGCACAGAGTCAAGAGTGCAGTCGACGTCAGCAGCGACGTCGACGTCATTCTCGTTGTCGTTGTCGTTGTGCGCTGCAAGCAGCGAAAATACAAAGCACAAAACATGCAGCAAAATAAATATTGAAGAAATTATGTATTGATGATCGGCACAGAGCGCGTTAGTAGAATAGAAGCATTTGCAGCATATTTTCTCTGTGTATATATGTCATCTTTTCCATATACGATATATATTCAAATTTTGTAAAATATATTTGTGATGGTTCCTATACACCTTACATACTTTAAGATTTGTGTTTAATATGTAATATTATATATTCACAAATATATCCTAACCAACAATGCTTTCAGACAGAAAGCAATGCCATGTATATCTCAATCAAGTCTGATTGGCTTAGAGGATTTACCAGTAGCGCTTATATAACAATACAAAAGTTAAAGTGAAAGGCTTAAAAGTTGTAAAGGCCACAGTAAAAATCCAATTTTTGTTGGTATGAAAATCTAATATATATATATATAGAACATATATTTGTATATAAAATATACAAATACGTCTGGAAATTTTTCGTCCTAACAATTTAAAATATTTATTAGTTTAAGTAAGCAAATTTTTATTTTTAAATTTTCTATGCGAATTCTTTCGAAATTTTTAACTCAGAAATTTGTATAGCCATAAGCTTATAAATAATATGCTATAATTCAATATATATCAATTTGAAGATTATAACTAAGTCTTACAAATTCAGTGCTGCAAAGGTTTATAGTCCAATCAAAATCTTTAGATTCGACAAAAAAAAATTTTCATCTGCAATTTTGACAAAATATTTGATTACAAATTAAAAACTAAAATGTATATGCTTTAGCTCTTCCTCTGACTTATTTTCGTTGACTGCTGCTAGGCATATGTCCACTACTGTAAAATACTGAGAAAATAATAATAAAGAAATTGAGAGAAAAAAAATGAAATAAAAATATATAAAAGAGCTGCGCGCGTTTTGGCTGCATAAAAACATTGAGCAAGGAGGCGAACCGAACTCAGTCGAACTGAGAAATTGCGACGAGCAGAACATTAAAGATTACAACCTGACTAACGACAGCAACAGCAACAATAACAACAAAAACAACAAGAACGAGTCGTTTACCAAGTGCCAAAGTCAAGTTCCCCAAAGTGAACAAAACGCTCGAGCAAATCAAACGGAACAGAACGCGCGCAGCTCATAAAATATATAAATAAAGGAAAATATTGAAATAAATATTTTGAGAAATATTTAATAATTATAGACTCAAAGTGCAGAGTGAACAGTATTTAAAAAAAAAATAATAAAAATATATATTTAAAGCTGAAAACGAATCAAAACGAAAAATGGCAGCACGTAAAGTGAGTTTTTGTGTCCCACCTTTTCTTTTCACCTGTGCACACAATTTCCTAGACAAGTTTTCCATTTGCATGCTTTTTGGCCAGTGTTGATCGAGTTGTTTTCATTTTGGGTCGCAATGGAGGACATGTGGTTTGCATTACCTTTTCATAAAAACAAAA